GACCAACTATCAATCCGCGCACGCACTCTGTTGGTTTGCAAAAACACACGTGCGTTAATATTGCCGGACAGAGCTTTATCAATATTGCCATAGCATGGATTGATTGTAGTTGTTCATCCGCCTTTTGGAGAGATTTCTCTCTACAAGGACAAAAATCAGACACAAAGGAATAAAGATGAGATTCCGATTTATAAATAAAAGAAAATAAAAGAAAATAAAAAATAATAAACTGAGCCCATAACTCTAATCTTTGTGTTTTATGTTTAGTTAGGAGCACGATGATCCCCCAGAAACTGATGCCATTAAATCACTAAATGGTGTAATAAACTCGAAAAAAAAATGATTAAAATTCAATCTCCTTAGATTACTTTCCGTTAAGCACTAAATCCTAATAAGTTCGAAATTACGTTTCGGTGGAAAGGTCAACGTTTTTCGCGTTTTGTTTTAATGGAGATTGCAATTAGCATGTAAACGTGACATCAAAGATCGCAACGTGACCGTAGGACAAATTTACATCTCGTCCTGCCGCGAGTGCGGGATCACCATTTACATGCGACCGATTTCGAATACAATTCCAATGGAAATATTATTGTAATCGAATTATCCGCGAGGAAAAAGCCGCTATGCTAATTTCGGTTTTCCGCGGCCGGTGTTAATTTCGCCTCAGATATACATTTTAATAATAAAATTGAATTTAAAGCGCGCTGACATGAATAGAAACGAGTAGAACAAAACAATCAACTTAAGAAAGGCGGAATATTCAAATTTCGCCCTTCGCAATCTCGCTTCGGGATTTTATTTTCTAATTTCGCCATTTTTTTTGTACAATAATAATTGCAATTCCCAAAGTGATGCCCGAGTAAATGAAAATTATACATTTCCGTCGATGTGAAAAGCGTCATATTCTCAAAGGCCTGGCTCGAGCAGGGGGTGGAAAAAAGCCGGATAACGCATGTCGCGGGGGCGCCTTGAATATTTAAGACTAATCTAGCGCGCTATACGATATGAGGACACCTTTTCAAAAATTTATACATCTCTGATATTAGCTTTTTATCAAAAATACTGTTCAGCCCCGCGGAAAACTTGCCTTTATATTTCACTAAAGGCGATTTAAACACAAAGAATGAATGGAAGCGAGTGTAATAAGGTGAGTTATATTCAGATTGAATTATTTTAGCAAAACGAACAGGAACGTATAAATTATTTTTCTTGTACAACGTAAATGCAACACATAAATCTTCAAGAAGGACTGAGCTCTCAGAGGTTTCGGTTTAAATGCAGTTTACAAAAACCGACACTTGCCACTGGAACGGATTATAAATTGCCACGATTCCAATACCTACCCACAATTTCAAACGAAACACGCCGGTAATGCGATGGACAAATACGTACGACATCCAATCGACCAAGATGCATTTATAATTTAATTTGAAGCTTAATTATTATTCCCAGGCTATTAGTGTCACTTGAAATTACCTTGCGGAGTTAGTAACTTGATACCCTCATCCAATTAAGCGTAATGTTAACGTTAATTAAAAAAAATTCAACAACAAGTCACCGCAGTTTCATGATTTAATCGGCAAGAAAGTTGTCAGAGACCCTTATTATTTTTATGAGCTAGGAAAAACTTTGGTTTGTTTGTTGTTGGGGGTTTGGTTTCAAAAACGTGACCGGTAAAAAGCGAAACGTTAGAACAGAAGTTAAGGTAGATTTGTGGGTTCCTATTAAACATAGAGTGACAACACGATGGGTAATTTTTTCAAGTAAAATAAATAATGTATAACACAAACAGAATCAAACCATGTAAGGGTGGGAAGCGTATGCTGCGTATGAGGTGTAAGATTATTTATTGTACGTAATAAAGGAATTGGACCTCCTTCTCGGTCACTAAAAGGATTGAAAGTTTGAATTTTATTAAACTATGTGCCGACTTGTACAAATTATTGATGGAATTGATAATATTCTGAGACTCTTTATCAAGAGCCTTTTATACATTCTGGAATTACAATTTAGTCTAGGCGATAAAGACATCTAACTGGACATTTTGAGGTGGAAAAGAAAAAAATGGTGGAATATGTTCAGTTAGGTGTCAGAAACAACATATTAAAAATCCCACCCCCAAGACCCTGTGCTAAAGGCTCCAGCCACCCCACCATCCCCCAAAAACCGTGTTTTCGCTCTTTTTGGCTGATATCTCGCGATCTATGAGGTCTATATGAAAAATTTTTAGCTGAAAATATTTCTCGGGAAATTTTATACAAGGTAGATTACTCAGAAGTTAGCCTAGGTGTACCTCTTAGCCTAGAAAATTGATAAAGGCAAAATAAAAATAAAAAAAAAAATAAAAAAAAATAAAATAAAAATTCATAAAAGGAGGCGAAAATCATCATTTTCGTGTTTTTTTTGAGGTTTTTTGCAAATATATCGCGACCTTCAGGGCTAGATGAAATATATTTAGCTGAAAATGCTCTTCGTGCAATTTCATACGAGATAGGTAACTGAAGAGTTGGCGTAAAGTCACCTTTCACCTTCAACTTTCATGTGTGAGGAAATATTCATTGTAAAACAAAGTTTTTCTATGTACCTACCATTTATTCACGTAAAAACTCCTAAGTGTCGGGTAGAGAAGGTTTACCTGATTTTCTGAAACTGCAAGCAGTCATTGCATGCAGTTGCAGGAAATCAGGTAAACCTCCTCTACCGGACACTTAGGACACACGAGAGAATATTATAATCGTATACATAATTAATTATAAACATTTTTTTGACATAATGCTTCTTGTTGTAGGTCTGAAGTGTAATGAACTCTGCGTCCAGTGTCATGGAGCATCGTGCCTAAATGCGACGTCGTCTCTTCAGGGTACCCATGCATCAGGTAACGCGGAAGACGAGAACTACGAGTCGGTAATCTCAGACGACCCACTACCACTAGAGGACGTCGAAGAGCCTGAAGAAGTGGAATCTGCATCTAGTCTATAACTTTTGATTGAGAAGTCTGATCGAAAAAGTACGAATTGATTTGGATTCTACGCACACAAATTAATAAGAAAAAGTGTTTTCCCGAGAAATTTTGGTGTAGTCGATTTTTGGTAAAAAAGGAAGGTTATACACTGCCTTTTTTTGAGCCCCGAAAAAAATTGTCTCAGATCGACCCGGAAAAAAATTTTCTTATAGAATGTGGCCTGTAGAATCCATAATTTCAAACAGGTCCAAGATTGGGCTACTAGTTCAAAAGTTACAGCCCTTTGAATTTTCTTTCGAAATTGGTTTCTAGTCTATAATTTTTGATTGAGAAGTCTGATCGAAAAAGTACGAATTGTTTTGGATTCTACGCACCAAAATTAATAAGAAAAAGTGTTTTCCCGAGAAATTTTGGTGCAGTCGATTTTTTGTAAAAAAGGAAGGTTGTACACTGCCTTTTTTTGAGGCCCGAAAAGAAAATTGTATCAGATCGACCCGGAAAAAAAATTTTCTTATAGATTGTGGGCTGTAGAATCCATAATTTCAAACAGTTCCAAGATTGGGCTACTAGTTCAAAAGTTACAGCCCTTTGAATTTTTTTTCGACATTGGTTTCTAGTCCATAACTTTTGATTGAGAAGTCTGATCGAAAAAGTACGAATTGTTTTGGATTCTACGCACCAAAATTAATAAGAAAAAGTGTTTTCCCGAGAAATTTTGGCGCAGTCGATTTTTGGTAAAAAAGGAAGGTTGTACACTGCCTTTTTTTAGGCCCGAGAAAAAAATTGTCTCAGATCGACCCGGAAAAAAAATTCTTATAGAATGTGGCCTGTAGAATCCATAATTTCAAACAGTTCCAAGATTGGGCTACTAGTTCAAAAGTTACAGCCCTTTGAATTTTTTTTCGAAATTGGTTTCTAGTCTATAACTTTTGATTGAGAAGTCTGATCGAAAAAGTACGAATTGATTTGGATTCTACGCACCAAAATTAATAAAAAAAAGTGTTTTCCCGAGAAATTTTGGCGCAGTCGATTTTTGGTAAGAAAGGAAGGCTATACACTGCCTTTTTTTGAGCTCCGAAAAAAAAATTGTCCCAGATCGATCCGGAAAAAAAATTTCTTATAGAATGTGGCCTGTAGAATCCATAATTTCAAACAGTTCCCAGATTGGGCTACTAGTTCAAAAGTTACAGCCCTTTGAATTTTTTTCAAATTGGTTTCTAGTCTATAATAATAATAATAATAATAATAATAATCTTTATTTCCTGTAGACATATAAAAATGTATAGGACACGTCAGTAACAATAACAAACAACATAAATAGCAATAACATGTGAGTTGGATATTATCACAGTCTACATAGGTACGTGAAGTATGTTTGATATTATATTGTCAAATAATGGCTAGCTAGAAGATCAAGGTAAGTTCTTGTGAATGAATTCCGTAATCGAATAGTATGAGTTGTGATGTAAAATATCTTTAATTATTTTTTTTGAATGGTTTTATTTCATATAACTTTTGATTGAGAAGTCTGATCGAAAAAGTACGAATTGATTTGGATTCTACGCACCCAAATTAATAAGAAAGAGTGTTTTCCCGAGAAATTTTTGGGTAGTCGATTTTTGGTAAAAAAGGAAGGTTATACACTGCCTTTTTTTGAGCCCCGAAAAAAAATTGTCTCATATCGACCCGGAAAAAAAATTCTCTTATAGAATGTGGCCTGTAGAATCCATAATTTCAAACAGTTCCAAGATTGGGCTACTAGTTCAAAAGTTACAGCCCTTTGAATTTTCTTTCGAAAGTGGTTTCTAGTCTATAACTTTTGATTGAGAAGTCTGATCGAAAAAGTACGAATTGTTTTGGATTCTACGCACCACAATTAATAAGAAAAAGTGTTTTCCCGAGAAATTTTGGTGCAGTCGATTTTTGGTAAAAAAGGAAGGTTATACACTGCCTTTTTTTGAGCCCCGAAAAAAAAAATTGCCTCAGATCGACCCGGAAAAAATTTTCTTATAGAATGTGGCCTGTAGAATCCATAATTTCAAACAGTTCCAAGATTGGGCTACTAGTTCAAAAGTTACAGCCCTTTGATTTTTTTTTCGAAATTGGTTTCTAGTCTATAACTTTTGATTGAGAAGTCTGATCGAAAAAGTACGAATTGATTTGGATTCTACGCACCCAAATTAATAAGAAAGAGTGTTTTCCCGAGAAATTTTTGGGTAGTCGATTTTTGGTAAAAAAGGAAGGTTATACACTGCCTTTTTTTGAGCCCCGAAAAAAAAATTTTCTTATAGAATGTGTTCTGTAGAATCCATAATTTCAAACAGTTCCAAGATTAGGCTACTAGTTCAAAAGTTACAGCCCTTTGAATTTTTTTTCAAATTGGTTTCCAGTCTATAACTTTTGATTAAGAAGTCTGATCGAAAAAGTACGAATTGATTAGGATAAGTACAAGGATAATGATTACGTTGAGGTATAAATGAATGTGTGAATATTTTAATATGAAAATACTGTTTTTACGTGAATAAATGGTACATAGAAATACTTTGTTTTACGATGAATATTTCCTCACACATGACAGTTGAAGGTGAAAGGTGACTTTACGCCAACTCTTCAGTTACCTATCTCGTATGAAATTGCACGAAGAGCATTTTCAGCTAAACATATATCATCTAGCCCTGAAGGTCGCGATATATTTGCAAAAAACCGCAAAAAAACACGAAAATTGATGATTTTCGCCTCCTTTTTTGAATTTCCTAGGCTAAGAGGTACACCTAGGCTAACTTCTGAGTATCTACCTTGTAAGAAATTTCACGAGGAGCATTTTCAGCTAAAAATATTTCATCTAGCCCTAAAGGTCGCGATATATTTGCAAAAAGCCACGAAAATTGATGATTTTCGCCTCTTTTATGAAATTCCTAGGCTAAGAGGTACACCTAGGCTAACTTCTGAGTATCTACCTTGAATAACATTTCCCGAGAAATATTTTCAGCTAAAAATATTTCATATAGACTTCATAGATCGCGAGATATCAGCCAAAAAGAGCGAAAACATGGTTTTTGGGGGATGGTGGGGTGGCTGGAGCCTTTAGCACAGGGTCTGGGGGGTGGGATTTTTAATATGTTGTTTCTGACACCTAACTGAACATATTCCACCATTTTATTCTTTTCCACCTCAAAATGTCCAGTTAGATGTCTTTATCGCCTAGCGGGCCTAGCCTATAATAGCTATTTACTTACATTTCGTACGGATACTGTGGCAACCAGGTCAATGTGATCGGCTAATTTTTGTAAGTATGAAAATTGTTTATGTTGGGTGGCTAGACTACAAAATAGGTGCATTGCGTTAGTTAGAGTCATGTTAGCTCCAATAACCAGGTGATCACCCTCCATTCTGTGTTCCAAGAGAGCCTTCACGCATGTAATGTCAATATAAAAATCAACTTCTTTTCTCAATGGGTATACTCCTAAAAATATTAGACTGTGACCTCAAACTTCACGGATCACATTTTGAGCAGCACATAATGACTGTTATAGGTACTCATTTTGAATATGACATTAAGTAAGATGGATTAGAGGATGAAAAACGACAAATAATTATTTACGAGACACATTCTCATAAAGAGTACAGTTAAGTCAGATAGATGCAAAGACATCAATGTAATAAAGGAACCGATTTCTCACATCCATTTTCCGTTTTTGATTTTCAAGTGATAATTTCAATCTTACCTTTTGCCGAGTTTCCACTAACTAATTGGTAACTTGATTCTCCAGCCTCCATAAACACATCAAGGATTTCATCGATTGAATACACTTTATACCATTTGGACGATTGAAGGGAATAAAAATGCGGTTGAGACTTTTTGGAGCACTTACTAGCGCACGGTGCAAAGCAGCGTTTTCCACTCCTTTCACAAATCTTGATATCTTCAATGTCGGCATAACTACCTAAAACTGCTGGCGTCGCATCTGATGCTAAAGATTTAAAGGCAGACAGTATAGGTCTATATCCGGTACATCTGCAAATATTTCCAGCGAAACTATTTTCTACTTGCTCCATGGTAAAATCTCCCAACTCATACAGGGGGAACATATTCATTAACATTCCCGAAGTGCAGTATCCGCATTGGGTTCCATTAAACTGTACCAATGCTTTTTGAATAGGGTGGTAACCCTTTTTTTCGTTACCTATCGATTCTATGGTATGAACTCTCCAGCCTTCGCATACGTAAATCGGCACCAAACACTAAAGGAAGTGACCAAAAAAGATAAGATTTTAAAATTTACCCCTCTTACCGAGTTAACTGCAAGAATAGTGTCACAGTTGGTTGTTGGATCGGTCACCGTTACCGCTACCACGCAAGCACCGCATCCTCCCTCGTTACACATATACTTAGTGCCTGTTAAATGTAACTTTTGACGAATGTAATAATTAAGGGAGGTTTCAGGTGGTAAGTCGTCAGTTTTAACTGTGTAAAAGAGAAGACTAGTAAAAAGAATTTGAATATTTTTTTTATCACCTGTAATTTCCTCATCTTCTATGAAAAAGTTGAACTCACGTCTCCTGAACACAAAATTAAGTATTATATAATATGTACAATAAATGGTCTCTCTTGTTAAAATTGCAATAAGGCCGGTATTACAAAATATGTTTTATAAAAGATTGACAAATATTTTAAAACTAACATTTTATTAAAGAGGAAGTATTATACACTGTCAAATAAATGACGAAAGTATCCAATCGCACGCACTCTTTTCCTTTTGAATTTCTTGTCGCCACGACTTCCTAAACCCATTAAGAAAAACAATGCTCTCTTGAACTGAAATATTCAAATATTCAACGCGGTATAAAAATCTTTATTATGAAAATTACATTACACGTAACAATTATCGGACAAATTTCGATACCCTATAAATCTTCTATATGTAATGTCCAAGTTACTCTGTTCTAACTTCATAATGAAATACAGTTACAGTACCTACCCCCATGCTACAGTATGATCCTTTATACCGTGCCCATACATTGGATGCGGCACATTTTAGATTTCTCATGCCAAGTAATCATAGGTGCTATTTTGTGCCTGGGTGATTTATTATACTCTCTCTCATTTTGGAGAGGTTATAATTAAGACTCTATTTACAATCTATCGCAAACTCAGTTGTGAGAATTCCGAAGAACAAAACTTGCTAACTAACAATGGATTTCGAATAATTAGAATGTCACTTTTCTCTGAGGTACCAGGTACACCAATTTTATCTTGGAGCGTAATTATCTCACCTTCATTAACAATAGTAACGTCACCATTATCATTATAAAAAACATTTTGGAGGAGCAACTATCGTGGACGCAAGTGACCCGGATGCAAGTGTCCTGATCCGAGTCATACAGTGACGCTCTTATTTACTATTACAAAACTGTTAGATTGCTATATGTAACTTATATCAGAATATTTAATTTACATTTATTATTGAAATATTGAGTCGATATAGTACCTATTGCACAAAGTCTATTGAGCGCAGAGATTAAAATCATATAGTATATATGACATATACGTATATAGTGTTTTTTGCGATAAAGCATACCTATACTTATACAAATACAAAAGAATGCATTCTGAGTAATGTTACTGAGCATCTTTTTATTGCAGCCTTAAAAGTAAATAAGTAAATTAAATGAGAACAAGCAACAATTTTCGTAAGGTGCACATATCGCATTTTTTTGTAATATGTGACGAAAATAATATGTACTTACTGTGCAAAGAATGACCGTTGATCCTTGATTTCTTTACCGATATCCATACTGAATCAATGCACCAAGATTAATCTGTAAATTCACTTTTGTTAGTTACTGGCTTTGTATAAATAAACAATGGTTACCGGCTTTGAAGACTTGCAAATCGTTTCTAATCTTCTATCTTCATGATATTAAAGCATCGTGTCTGATATATGTTATTAAGTGATAAATATACATTGGGTAAATAAACAATAAGTGGTGATGACGTGATGTAATAACACAACATTTAAATTATTTATATGAGTACGTATGTACTGTCGAATTAAAATCTGTTCGCTCATTATGTCTAATTAGAGGAAAGACGCAAATAAATTACAAGATGCGTTACCTATTCGCATTTGAAGAAATAAGAGGTAAGCGAACTAAATATGAAAGAAAAATTGGTATTAAATATGTGAAAATGGGATGGGTTGCTCGGGAAATTTAAGTTAAGGTGGAGAATGCCCGTCCCCTAAGCCTTTTTGTGAATAATATCTTTATTTTTTATATATAGGATTGCTAAAAATTGGGCAAATCAAAGCTTGTAACCTATGGAAAGAGACATGTATTACAAAAATACGACAAAATCCAAAAACAAAAGAAATTAGAAATTTACTTGTCCAGTGGCCCATTACCTACCACAATCCGGTAATGGTGGCTTAGGACCACCACAACATTTTACCTTTCAATTACGCGAACAACAAAATCACAGAAAGTGAATCTTATTTACTAATAGGTAAAGATACACCCCCATCAATTATTTACTAAATTCCCACCCTCAACAAAGAAAGCACTATACCTACTATACACCCGAATGAAGTAGAGTAGGCAATCATATTATAGCCGATAGTGGCCTAAAATTCATTCTGGGACCTGGGTATTCTTATTTTAAGTATTATTCGCATTTCGCACCCAATATTGGGATCTAATCATTTTCTAAGTGTGAACGTTTTTCAAAATTAAGCAGTATCAGAAATACAAATAGAACATATTAAGTAAGTTGTGTTATATTATGGTAGTAGGTACCTACCAATATCACAATTGTATTCTCAGTGACTTGCACATAGTAGACAACACGAAATATACTAACTATATAAGTATCTGCATTGATCTTAAATAAGTAATTACGTAGCACATAGCATGTAGGCGAGGTCAAATTTCTAACTATATACCAAATCTCCTATGAGTTTATGTATCCACTCTCTTATTATCTCTGTACAATGACGGAATTAAATACATAATTACTAAGTATATGTACTTCCATTCTTGGCACTTATGAATGGAATCGTTACTGAAGGAAATGACTCTCTAATATTAATAATATCAAATAACGCAAAAAACAACCAACAATTTTCTCTCTATAACATTCATTCATGTACTGTTCCTAGTCCAGTGCATACCAAGAACCCAAAAATATAACAATGGCAACTAGTTTCTCGGTACAGCAGGGGCGCCGGAAGAAAATGCGCTAGGGAGGGGCCCCTTACATGTTTGGAATAGAAAATGTTATCTAACTATTTTTAAATTAGTAAATCAATAGAATACGCAGCTAAATCATATATTCAATAAAAACCATTGGTGTAATAGTTTAATAGGTACATATTAGACACAAAACAAAACAAGAACAAAAGTAACAAGTTACAGTAGTTTACTGAAAAAAATATTAGCACAGATACCACTCGCACACCGGCGCATGCGCGTTCTACCTTCATTTAGGTCTAACCATATGTGTACCAAATTTGGTTCCAATCGGTTCAGCCGTTTAGCCGTTAATGAGAGTTTAACACATTTGCGCATGAGCTATTCTCCCGGAAAGCTTTTCAGCTCTTCCTTTTATATGATGAATAGGTGCACCAAATTTGGTAACAATAACAGTACGCTACAGACAGACCGACATAATCAAAATTTTATTGGATTCGGAATCCTGGTGCTTCAAAACGTGTATTTCCGTAAAAAAGTGGGGGTGATTTTTTATCCCAATGCAATACCTCCCTTACTAACGTGCGGGTGATAACAATATTACAGTACGTAAGGTAAATTCGAGGGCACATTAAACTGTTTCTGTATATTTTTTCTACTCAAAACTATAACAAATTACCAACCATAATGTTATTGATTACAATGTTGAATGTAGCGTAGGATAACACAATTTAATTATTTCGAAACAATAAAAATTCCTCTTACGTGATGATTTTGTACGTCTGCCTGTCAATCTGTTCCTCGTCTATCTCGAGAACGAAAATTCAGCGATGTCAAATCTTCGCCAATCCATTTCTACGAGTTCAAGGATCAGTGCTATAATGAATATGAGCGGAATTAAAAGTCTGATTTCCCAATACGAGCTGAGTAACAAAAAATTCCCCTACTAAAGAATAGCTGGGGAAGGAAGGGACTAATCCAAAAAGTCTTTTGTCGTTCTGATCTCGAGGCTGTGCTACACCGTATAAGAAAGAAACAACAACGAAATAGCTTAAAGTGGAGGACTAGTAATGGTAAAGACGGACAAAGTGCGGACAATAGCGTTCATTTTCCTTTTGGAAAATGCGCTCAAAAGCGCCGAACCGAAATATGTAACATGACAGCTTATTGTCATTGATGTTTTTCCAAAACAAACAGCCACCCTGCGGTCTTCGGTTAATTTAATCTCTATAGTCTATACAATATGGGAACTTTATGGACATTGAGGTAACTCAATAAGGTTATAAAAGGTTTGCCTACTTTTGCTTTGTCACCGAACAGCGATGGGACAGAAAAAGGTGGCTATTCTGGTTTTATCGTGAGCTTTCAACATTTTCTAAAATGGATTAAGCGATTTATCAAATCCCAGGGAGGGGCCCGGGCCCCCCCTTGCCCTTTAGTAGCGGCGCCCATGCGGTACAGACTGCAGAGAGCGTTTGCCGCTATTTTAAAATCGTTAATAGGGTAGTTTTTTCAACGCTCTTTTAACAGGTTGTACTTACGCTATTAGTTGCAAGAGTTTTCACCATATACGGGCTGATTCAAATTCGAGGGCCCCCACGGGAGTCTCGGAAAAATGGAGGGAGGGAAAAAAATGGCCATAATAAAGTGTCATTTATCTTGAAATATCTTTTTAAATAACTTCGGTAAAAATAAAAACGTTTTTGCAAAATCTCCCAAAGTAGTCGGATTTTTTCAGTTTCAAAACGCCCTTTTGTTAAGCACAAAACACGCAACGCTGCCAAATTTAAACTACCTACCTACCTATTTTTTACATTTTCCGAGATCCCCATGGTGGCCCTCGAATTTGAATCAGCCTGTATAAGGTCTTTGAATATAAATTATACTAAAAGATAAGGTTTATTCCACCCAAATGTTCTCGTGGCTATACTTACCCCTTCATCTTAAATTTAAAGTATACAAACCGGCAATCTTTTCTTCTTTTCTATTGTCACACTATCTTGCTTTGTGTGTCTTGAAGAAAGTATCACGATCCTTGAATGTAAATAAATGAATGTCTATATATGTCATGGACTGATATGCTCCTCTGGACCCTCTGCCTCTGATTAGGAAAACTTAGATAATACACTTGCGCCCACTATTAACGTAATAAGGTGCATGTGAATTACACGCAGGTGTACGGAGAGTAATAAACAAAACTGGTAGACACCATTTCACTTTGTAATACATCCGAAAAAAAAATAACATTCATATGTTGCATCTGTATGTTAGAAACGTGAGTGTGAATTGGTGTGTTCGTTTGCCTACTACCTATAATGTACCCTTTTACAAAAAATTAGATTGCCTCCCTTCACATTTTTCACAGGCTTAGCACTGTCGACATAAAAATGGTTTATCCAGTCGTCATTCTTTTTTTTTGTTATACGATGTTTTTTTAAATTTTTTTTTAGATTTTGCAATATTTTTTCAATGGTTTTACTTTTTTAAACATGGCCTATATACATATATTATATACATTATTTACAACTCAAGCATAGTTATTCTAGCTTTTGCACATAATCCAGAGTTCTCAAGACATTTTTTACATTAAGGTCAGAAATATCGTGGTAGGTGCTACTATTAGAAGAGCAAGCGTTTACCAAATCGGAGTCAGGAGCTCAAGTGGGCCAGGGGACCACATGATCAAGGGAGCATCTGTCCTGATACGACAAATAACACGGTTGTAGATATGCTTTTATTTTGAATGGAATCGATGGATCCACTCAGTATACTCACAATAAAAAATAAGGATATTGCTTTATAACAAATAAGTAACGTATCCTGCTAGTCAATCAGATCGGAGCGTCGCACAAATCCTAAAAAAACACTTTTATCATTTATTTGCAAATACTGTAACAAAATATGAACTATTTTTTACAATTGACTTTGGAATCTTATGAAAAGGAAGCCACATTCACATATTTTGATTGTCAGATTCTGCACTACTATGTGCACTGGTACCGCCAATTCTTGCTTTTGCAAATTTTTGATGATGTTCAGTTGTTAATGGAAGAAGAGCCTTAAAGAAATGCCTCGCACAGGTTAGAGTTCCTTCACGAAATCTTCGAAAGTCTCTACCTATTGAGTCAGATCGCGTACATACACTAACTCGCTGTTTGTTCATTAAACTTACCCATCGGTAACGTTTCATTTTCTATAACGACAGTTTGCTGAGTTAACGCAGCTAACATTCTCAAGAGTACGTTTTCCTCATCTTTATCTGACATCGGCCCGAGCTTGGCAATAAAGTTAATCAAATATTCGATTAAACACGCTTCTTCCTGAAAGAATGGCGAAATACAAAAAGATATAGGTACATTGTTACAGTCAATACCAAATCAAACTTTGCTAAACACTGCTCCGTTAATTTGTAATTAATTACAATTACTTCTAAATCGTCTGTTCCCAACACTGGACTTCTTAAGGTTTCTAACCAGTCGTAAAGTAAACTTGCCAACATAGCAATATTGGTTTCATTTTTTAAAAGTTTCCATCCAAATTGAGATGCATTTATGGTATTTTCGTATTCCAAAATTGTTTGTGCGAATTTTGAGTCGGCATTGTCAAAGGGAATTAGAAGGGATGAGATGACTTCACTTCGATCATATATTTCTCGGAGAGAATCAGTATCCTCTTTTTGCTTATTGGTGACTAGTTCTTGAAAACATTTATTTTCGTTCAGCAATAAATCCTTTACGTCTTCCTTCAATTCTTCTCCATCCAAAGTACTTAGATCTACAATACAATTTCGGTGAAACTTACTTCGTAAGTAGCCTTTACCTGAGTACGAATCACTAAACTTTACAGATGCATCTGTGTTTTCGTCACATTCCGACGGACTAGGACTTGGAGAAGTTGCGTTGCATGTGTAAGAACTGTTGCATGTCGGAAGCTTTGGCAGATCGTCAGTCGAAAGAATGTCTACATGAAAACGACGTAATAATATTATTAAAGCAAATTTGTATTCCTACCGTCAACGCTGGATACACGGGAAAAGGACTCTTGTTGCTGGGTACCACCATGTACCTTTATACAAAGGAAGTTTTGTGTTATCGAGAGTGCATTTGAAGAAAATTCATCAGTTTGACAGCCACATAACTCCAACATTCTCTCGCAAATTACATGAACAATCTGTAAAGTTGTTGGAATTATTATTAGGTATAAGTAGTGTAATTTGCTAGTAACGGAAATTAAAGCTTGGACTCTACAATTCACAATTATCACCTTGCTTCTCTCTTGTAAAGAGACGCTCTCACGCTGTTATTCGTAATCAGGGTTAGGGTATTAGCTGAGTTGAGTGGAATATGAGATTAGATGAGGGGAACAGTAACACTGCAGACAAATTTCTAAAACACGTTAGTCCACCATAAAAAGGCTAAAAGTTTTACAGTGATATGATGAACGATACTTGCTATGGTTGGTTAAATGATATAATGGGGGCCAGTGTATTGAATGACGCATTGCGTAGCAAAATCAATAAGTATCTGTAGGTATGTGTACCTAGGTATATGGAACTAATTGTGTAATGTGGTTACAGCCCGAACAGCACCCCTTGTCGTGAAAGTCTGGTGGAAGACCAGTGAACCTACACGGTAAACTGAAACAGATCCGTTTTCCGGTTTCCATAAATATGTTATGTAATTTATCTATATGTCCTATGGAAATAAAAGTATTATTATTATTACTAATTACATGGAACTGTTCATATTAACAGACGTAACTCGAAAACAACGAAACTATGATGCAAAAGTTCTTTCCAGTACCATAGCTTGACGGAAAACTGGCACTACCTATAAAAAATGCATTTCGCATTGAAAGAGGCCGTTTAGATAGGTATTTATATTTCAAAATGATTGACGGAATTCATACGCAACACGAAAACAATCAACGTTTACAAAAAATCGATGAACTCCAATCTCCTTTGTTCTCCTCAAGGAACAGGTTGTTGCGTGTTCGAATCGACCGAACCACATAAATAATAACCTCCATCACATTATGCTTTTTGAAAGGACCAAATTGGAACAATTTCCCAACCTTTGGCCAATATATCGATAACAAGTTTATGGCAAATTTAGAAAATATAAACGTACACGTCGACTTTTTTCTTACCTTAGGTATGTATTTAAAATTACGTTCGTCATATCCATGCAGTACTATCCTTTGTCTTCTCAAAAACTTTTTAAGGGTATACGGCACCATATACTTCCCTTTGGAATACCTGAAACCGAATTTACTAAATGCTGCATTAGGTTTGAGTTACATACTTAAGATAGTACGTTATATTTTGAGGAAGAATAAACTGTGCAAAATGTCGAACGCAATTGATTTGCCCTCTTGTTTGCACCGATCCTGGTCTTTTTAATCTTACAAATTTAATAGAGTCATTTGCGCTCACTCTTAAAGAGTATACCAGATAACATGCTATTAAAACTCCCGTCCGTCCCAAACCTAAAATTATCCAATTACTCTACGATCTTTTTCACTATTACCCTAAACCTGCGTGGCAGTGAATGGCGACGCGTCCTTCTGTGACTGCGAACGCTAGCACTTTAATTGGGTTCAGTAACTCTGACAAAGATGCATCACCATAGTCCTTCCATGCAAAATTGTAGTAGTAAACTGAAATAATATCACAACTTAATAGTAAATTATGCTCAAAGTAAAGTCATGCACTTTAAGTTGTAGGTACTGATAGTAAAGATGGTAGGTACCAACCCAGAAGGAGAATGCTAGATGGTGATCATTCAATGTACTAGATATTCAGTATTTTCGCTCTCGGCATTTGCCTGTTGCTGTTGGTATTGGCATTGCAAGAAAATCACAGTTGTCAAAACATGCTGCTAGGGAGCATTCGTTTCTTTTTATAATTCATATGCCGCCATATAACAGGATTTTGTTCTGATTGATCCTAGAAAACATCTCCGGTCCATACATCAATACATGCCCCTTATCATCGCATCAATTACGTACTTTCACTTTTTTCTGTTCAACATATCTACTTGTCTCATCACCACATCTGCTTTTTTCGTTAATTTCTGTTAGTTGTGCATTTACTCTATTATTTCTTTGCGTATGGAAACTCAGATATTTCAATTCTCTCCCCTCCATTTATTCCCATCTCATATCTCCGATTTTTCAACATTTAGCTCCATTCCTTTTTTCCTATCACTTTTCCTAGATCTGCTTTCGTTCGTTGCCATTATTACTGTATCGTATATGTGTATGCCAGGGCTTACATCTTCTTTGTTCCTACTAGAATTCCTCCATTCTAATATTTTGTAAGTTATTTGTATATTTTTTAAATAGGGTTGGGTTAAGTGGACACCGCTGACTAAGTTCTTTATCTGTCTAAACATATTCCCCCGTACCCTAACCCCACATCTCATCACTTTGTATAACTCCCTTAGCATTTTTGTAGAATTTCCTCCTCCAAACGCAACCTTTAAACCCTGAAAAATGCTACCACTTTGCCTCTGCCCTTTTTTCTAGTTTAATCCACAAGTATGTGGTACAGTATGCCGCCTATCATTTTTTTCCTGTTCTAAAACCCACTTTTGTTTCCTCCACTTCCCTTTCCTTTCCAGTCGCTCATTTGAATCATCGCGTATACGTTGTCGTCATAATTCCCTTTGGTGTTCGATAGGATCTTTCTCGTCTCTTTTGTGAGTCCATTACCTTCCTTCCCTCCTTCCTGGATTTGTTCTTCATAGCCTTTATTTGTTTCTTCGTGTTTTTTTACTAGTTTTTTGTGTTTTTTTAGTCATCTCAACTGTCCCGCTTCCTTTTTTTCTTGTTCCAACATCGTTCTGTATATGTTTTTCTCTTCTGTACAATCCTTGACCCTCATTTTCTCTCTACCTTCTAGTACTAGCGGTATAACGGAAATTCTTGAAAGATACTGCATTTTTTTATACCAAGGTGCCACTTGGTACAGTTGTTCCTTAGAGCCATTTAAACAATTTGACCCGAAGAACACTTGACATTTTCCGTGTGGGTAGATTTTAGAGGGGAGGGGGTGATTTATTGTAACATTTTTTTAAAAACTAAATTTCGTCTAGAGACGAGATCTGAGTGTCGATTTCGTATGATTTTAACCCGAGGAATCCAATGGTAGCACCATAAATGTAATCCGGATACCGGAAGTCCGTGAAAAGCCGCCATTTTTAGAAAATGACAGACTTTGGATCGAATTATATTTTTAAGGCACACCGGGTCGTGTAAGGTGTCTAGACTTATGTTTTTGGGGTCAGGGAATTCATTTATGATAACAAATATAACCTACTGGTATCGGAACTGCATGAAAGGCTTCCCTACTGCACTTTTTGAAGACGTCGCACGCGGTGAAACCCAAGATATTCCAAAGTTTTAATATATAAACTTATATTATTTTATTATAAAAATACACATTAACAAAACATAAGATATATTAAAACATGGGGTAAAAAATGTATAAGCTGGTAGCAGGTAAAGGTTGTATGACGTGCAAAAATTTTATTAATAACATCAAATACATTAAAGTATTTGTTATAAAATTTTTAAATGTAATTTATTTACTTCATGTCTCTTTGATAATTAATAATTGTGATGATTTTTATAGTCCCAATTGTGACTCTCTGTAACTCCTGACCCTGCTCCTGACAAAGTAAGTTTTTCATCTGTAATTTCAATCAAACTTTGTGTTTTCATGTACTTGCAGGAGGCACTGATGATGGCGTATGCCGAAAGCGCTCTGCTTTTTTAAATTGATGTTATCAATAAAATTTTTGCACGTCATACAACCTTTACCTCCTACCAGCTTAGATTACGTGCACACAGCCGTTCGTTAAGTTAAAATAAAATTAAAAAAAAAAAAATTTATAAGCCTATGAAGAATCACCAAGTACATCGCTGACCTCTGAGATTGCGTTATCACCACTGAAAGGGAATTTTACATATAAATATTAAAGGTTCGGTAGTAAATTATATCGAAAGTATACAATATTCTTACCCTTTGTTTGAGCAATCTCCCATACATTTTTGGCACGCAGGGGAACATGGTAATCCGTGTCGCCACACGAGTTGAAGGAGCACATAAGGAGGGCGGCGTATGTCGCTGGCCATATCTGGGAATGTGCAAACCAGGTGAGAACTCTACAAGTCCAGAAAGATTGGGATGGGGATGGGGATGGACTCTTGAAGCCAAAGGCTGGAGCTGGAAGGTTCTGTAGTCCAAACTGCCGCAAGTATGGAAGGCAGTCCGTGCTCTGGACAGGTGTGGCTGCGCGACAGGCTGCGAGACCCTTCGGTGCAGCTGCCGGCGACACGGATTGCCATGTTCCCCTGCATGCCAAAAATGTATGGGAGATTGCTCAAACCAAGGGTAAGAATATTGTATACTTTCGGATATACCTAATTTACTACCGAACCTTTAATATTTATACCGGGTGAATATTCCCAAAACGAACATAGGGAATTAACATGGGAAAAGGGGTTTTTGTAGATAGTTGCTCCCCATGTTAACTTAGAGGGTTGATCATGACACCAATCGAAAGAAGATTTTTTTCCTCGTCTAATGATATACGAATTAGTTCATTTTCAGGTGTATTTCTCACTATATTATCAAAAACTCGAGAAATCCACTTACCAAAATCATGTTTAGCCATGACTAAGACAAAAAGCAGATTCAAACGTCGAAATCAATATCAGTTTATGACACCTGGCATTAATTTTTTTGTAAAATGCGGTTCACTGAGGAAAAAGTATTTATAATAAACAACGTTTACAGCGGAAATATTTACTCTAGTACGCGATATTTGTTTTCCGTGCATGTGAAAACCTATTTCAATTCGTTAGGAAATTTCCATGGCTTAACATGATTTTGCTAATTGGATTTATTGCCGAATTTTTGATAAAATAATGAGAAATACACCTGAAAATAAGCTAATTCGTATATCATTAGATGAGAAAAAAATCTTCTTTTGATTGGTGTCATTACAAACCCTCTAAGTTAACATGGGGAGCAACGATCAGCAATAAACGTTTTTCGCATGTTAATTTCCTACGTTCGGTTTTAAAATATTCACCCGGTATGTGAAATTCCTTTTCAGTGGTGATAACGCAATCTCAGAGGAGGTCAGCGATGTACTTGGTGATCCTTCATAGGCTTATAAATTTTTTACCCCATGTTTTAATATATTTTATGTTTTGTTAATGTGTATTTTTATTAAATAAAATATTACAAATTTATATAGGTATTAAAACATTGGAATATCTTGGGTTTCACCGCGTTCGACGTCCTCAAAAAGTGCAGTAGGGAAGCCTCTCATGCAGTTCCGATGCCAGTAGGTTATTTTTGTTATCATAAATGAATTCCCTGACCCCAAAAACATAAATCTAGTCACCTTACACGGCCCGGTGTGCCTTAGAAATATAATTCGATCAAAAGTCTGTCATTTTCTAAAAATGGCGGCTTTTCACGGACTTCCTGTATCCGGATTACATTTCTGGCGCTACCATTGGATTCCTCGGGTTAAAATCATACGCAATCGACACCCAGATCTCGTCTCTATGCCATATTTAGTTTTTAAAAAATTGTTACAATAAATCACCCCCACCCCCTCTAAAATCTACCCACACGGAAAATGTCAAGTGTTCTTCGGGCCAAATCGTCTAAATGGCTCTAAGGAACAGCTGTACCAAGTGGCACCTTGGTATAAGAAAATGCAGTATCTTTTGGTATACCGCTAGTAGTACTCCCTCTTTTACCTGGTTTAGACGTTATTGCAGTTCCAATACTGGTGAAAGATAATAAAATCGGTAGATCTGCTCTGAAAATCGCAAATATTTCTCGAGATCGACTCAAAAAGCACTCGCGATCGACCGTTTGAGTACCACTGGTGTATACTTATAATAAGAACAACAGTTTCAAGTAGGGTAAGTACTTATAGTATCTGTCCTCTCATCATTAGAGTAGATATCGTTCTGTAATCTGTCGAAAATGCTTCATTATCCCTTTTTCTTAAGCAGACTACACTCCACACAGTTCGGTTTTTTGTAACTTAACTATTGCCAAAATGCCAAAGCGTCTTCCATCACACAAAACCACATTTGGAATCTCGCACTTCTACAGAAATGATATTTATACAAGTAAGCTTGAATGGTCTGTGGTCACTATTCAAAATTGTAGTAAAGTTTGGAATTTGTAATCACTGTACTATACAATCACGGATCAAGTGCTCTTGCTGCACGGTATTGGTACATATTGTTTACTCTTTGGTTAAGGCATAGTGCAAGTGACCTAGAGCTATGATATGTAACTTTTACAAATAAAAATTTTATAGGCACCTACTAAGGCCAAATTAATTTTCTTTAGGTCAATAAAAAAAATCATTTGGACTAATTTTCCCTTGAAATTCTTGTGCATTTTCTATCAGATCTATGCTACCATCTCTCCCTGTGTAATTTTTGTATGTAGATGATTCATAGGTTCATATACTTACTGTCGTTTTCCATAAATATGTTTGGGTCATATGAAAAACCTGAATCCTCTAATGGTTCGCCACAACTTGCGTGTTCTTTAGCACTTTGTAAATTGATTATGGACTTGATGCCTAAACTAAAAAAAGAATTAATGTACATACTCTGATTAGAAGATCTTCGCACAGTACCTTTGAAACTGTTCAATAATATTTTTTTTAATTATCACTGCTGTACTTGGACGTGCCATAGCCAAGATGTCATCCGTTATCCTAAAACCCAATTTCATTTCATGACAAAAATATAAGGTTTTGTTACGTGTGCTTTATCAGCCTATTTCTAATAAGGGAGTTATAGTATGTTCACCTACATTAAAACAACGATTAAGTTCACGTACATTATGGGAACTGAAATATATTGATTCTTTATTATCACAGTAATATATCTAAAAAGCTTGTAGTTATCCTACAGGTTGAGTCGGTTGAGTCGTTAATAATAGACTCTTTACGAAAATATGTGAAAGTTTTATGCAAAACTATGGAATGGCTGCAGGATAAAATTGTGTATACATACTTAATTATGTAAGAAACGGCAACAGGTCCTATCATTACATTAGGTACTAATTCTATCGAGTCAATTCACTTTGATATTAAAGGCGATAAAACAACGTCTTCAAGTTTTATAGCAAAATTAGCTCAAGTTTGCGTGTTTACGCTGGATACATATAATTAATACACCTTCCACATGGCAACTTTCAACAAAGTTGTTGATGAATTCAAACCGCAGTACAAAATTCAGTATCCGACAGTGCCAGTCTTATATTTGGCATAAGTTCACATGGTAAAATAAAATCATGCTAACTAACAACCCCAGAAATGCTTTGATATATCTACAGTTTGTGGGAGCCTCAACAAATGTCAATTTTACAGCAAACCTACAAACAATTTCTGAACATTTCGTTTCGTTTGATTTTCGATTGAATCCACACAATCACATAAAACCATAAGCCAAAAGAAGAAAATCGTCCATTAGAAGTAATAATTTTGACTGTATCCTAAGGGTACACAATTTGTATGAAATAAGGTGAGCACTTCTACCGCAAATCACACGAAGAGGTCGAGGGTACATACCAATGAGAATATATTCCATGAATTGCCAAACTGTCCGCAGTCCAATTTTCTGGATTTTCATATTTACAATTCGTACCTCCACAGAAAACACTGCACTGTATACCTTGCGGTGTTAAACGCCTTATATTTTCCGACAACTTTGTATAATTCGCCACTACTACTCTTTTATCGTCGTTAAATGATTCCATAGTAACTTTATAACGTACAAAAAATTGTCATCAAAAATATTTTCGCGCTTATAGTAACACTGCCGGAATTACTATAACATTGGCCTGAAACGTACAATGTCGCCTATGCGACTGGACGACATGCAAGTAGGGTGGTTGTTATATAAAAATAAAAAATAACTATAAACATATATACCGCATTTCCTTCCGTATGCATAATCAATAAAACACTAATGTACCTCCAGTTTTAAACTAATTTGAAATGTAAATGATCAAGCGCATGCTTGAGATTGTTATTCGATTTCTGCATAAAGAAATATACGAATAAGAACGCTTGAGGAAATGAAATATACAAAACGTACCACGTGGAAGGCTTTCATCCCTTATAAAAATGATTACTTTCAATGTAACCGACATGACAACTGAACACTTAAATACATGCGCATAGTGCGACTTCATAAAATATTGAAGTAACATTTGCTTTTTCCTTTTCCATTATAGTTATAGTTACTAGTTACTACCCACCACCGAGCCATTATAGAATGAAACTGGTAGTAAAAATGGTTAAACGTAAATTGAAATTAGACATATAATGTATCTTCAATTAAGTAACTAGGTTAGTATTATTAATAGATTAATCTTATACAGGTAAGACTTATAGCTACCTACTAAAAAGGGCACGCAATTTTACGCAGTTCATTATTTATATTCTTTGGGCATTCGTGCTAACTAAATTTGGTGCACCTACCACCTGCGTGTTGCCTGATAAAGATTAGGTATGCGTGATTTGGTGAAAAGTTAAACAACTAAAGAAGCTCTTCGTTATTACTGACCGTTAATCATATTGAAACCTATTATTCCTTTTACTACGTCATAGAAATTGTGCGCTAATTCACTCGAGACCAACATCTTACAATCGACTGTGACTACTTTGGAGATGAAGAACACTGTAGTACACAAAGTTCTCTCTTCATCAAAGCCATAACCAAGATTGATCATACCCAGGACAATTTATGGAGGATTGACACCCAGTATTGTTCACACCCAAGAGACGAGTCATACAGGTCATTTCAGGGCTATAGAGCTTTCAAACAATACCCTTCTACGATGAGGAGTATGTAGTGATACCTATGTACAGAGGGAACTAAGAAATTTGAAAAAAACAAAGAATTATCCTCATATTCCCAAACCTTTATATAATAATTTTTTAATTCATTTTATATATTGAACTAAAAACCTGTCATTTCTCAAAATAAGGGGGGGGGGTACCTCTGAGGTGCACCACAAAAACATTTTAAAGTACTCCTTTCTCGAAAATAAATTACCATACCGTTTTTTTTTAAATTGCAGCTGATAATTAAAAGTAACAAAATATACAATCCACACGAGGTGCGTCGCCTATCATTGTATTCAGCACTTTCATGCTACGACAAAAAATGATAAATTCATTGTAAAACACTTCAATTAAAACAGAATTTTTTAACAACCTAAAATCAACCCCAATTAGTGAAACGTGTAAGAATTTATTAATAGTGCAAGAAACTAAATACAGCACATACTTATAAATTTCCAACGGGCCATTGTGATCTACAGGCTAGGCGGCAATCGCCATCCGCCCCCCCCTCCCCCGGGCCAGTGCGCCCTGGTTATACACTGCCTTTTTTTGAGCCCCGAAAAAAAAATTGTCTCAGATCGACCCGGAAAAAAATTTTCTTATAGAATGTGGCCTGTAGAATCCATAATTTCAAACAGTTCCAAGATTGGGCTACTAGTTCAAAAGTTACAGCCCTTTGAATTTTTTTCGAAATTGGTTTCTAGTCTATAACTTTTCATTGAGAAGCCTGATCGAAAAAGTACAAATTGTTTGGATTCTACGCACCCAAATTAATAAGAAAAAGTGTTTTCCCGAGAAATTTTGGTGTAGTCGAATTTTGGTAAAAAAGGAAGGTTATACACAGGGGCGAACTGGGTACTTACGGGCCATTAAAGTATTAGTGTAGTAATGAAGGTGCGGGGGGGGGGGTAGCTCTGAGGTGCACCACAAAAACATTTTAAAGTAAGTACTCCTTTCTCGAAAATCAATTACCATACAGTTTTTTTTAAATTGCAGCTGATAATTAAAAGTTACAAAATATACAATCCACACGAGGTGCGTCGCCTATCATTGTATTTCAGCACTTTCAAAATACTACGACAAAAAATGATAAATTCATTGTAAAACACTTCAATTAAAACAGAATTTTTTAACAACTTAACATCAACCCCAATTAGAGAAACGTGTTAATAATTTATTAATAGTGCAAGAAACTAAATACAGCACATACTTATAAATTTGCAACGGGCCATTATGATCTACAGGCTAGGTGGCAATCACCACCCGCCCCCCCGTGCCAGTCCGCCCCTGGATCAGTATACTATTAGTCACTTATATTTAAAATAGAAATCGTAAAGTAAAGTAAGTTTAACAAATATATTTACTGTTTTTGTCTAAAAAAAGACGTACGACAATCGGCTTGTGGTAGGGAAAAAAAACAATCGTAAATGTAGCATTGCATTCCACATTATAGTTCGGTAGTCCGTTAATCACAGTTCTGCCATTGGTCGTCGGTTCACGAGGTGAAAGCAACGCCATGCCGAAGGTATCCTGAGGTAACTCCTCAAGTCGACTCCCAGTTTGAAGCTGATGATTAAAGTCCCCGAGAAGAATAACATCTTCTGTTACACGAATGTATTCGCCAATCCCCAATATAGTTTCGTCTTGTCGGAGGCTGCCGCATTCCCTTTGGAGATTTGACTCTACCACCACTAAGATCGTGTCGGGGGCTACCACATTCCCTTTGACGGTACTCACTTCCGACGCCTCGTTCACCCGCAATTCGCGTTTGAAGATTTGACTCCACCATCCGGAGGATCGTTTCGGGGGCTACCACATTCCCTTTGTTGGTACCCACTTCCGACGCCCCGTTCACCCCAAATTCGCGTTTGAAGTTTTCACTCCATCATCAGTTAGATCTTGTCGGAGGCTACCACATTTCGTTTTTCGGTGCATACTTATATTACACCCACATTTTGGTGGATTTCGCTAAAAACCTTCCACAAGATGGTACTTCATTTTTGGGGCACTTCTCATTGCTCGAGCTTCTATTGGCAACACGAGAAAGAGAGACACCGATTCGAGATTTACGAAACGCAAAATTCGCAACGGAAGGTAAAGGGCACCCGAAGTTAATTTCGCCCTTAGGCCCAAAAACAAAATTCCGCCACGCAGGAGTTGTGCGCCTTTACAACATCTTTTCGAAGACACCAATTTGAAAAGAATCGGACTAAAACTAAAAAATCGAAAAAACCGAAAACCCTTCACGCTAGTAAACTACGCTCGAGGATGACGCCCAGTTGTTGCCAACCCCACATCATGTAGCCCTGTCCCTTAGGTTGACAAATTACACGGCCTTGTAGGTACACGTATGTACACCCGTTGTCTTTCTACAAGAGTTCTTCTACGCGCCTACATTTGCTGCCAGCCAGCCAGCCAGCCAGCCGGCCTGCTAGCTAGCCAGCCAAAGTGAGATTAAAAGCTACCTTTTACAAATAAATTTGCAAAAATGCGCAAAAAAGCGAAAGTGGTGTGGATGGATATGCAACCTTTGTTACATAGTTATATGTGATTTGGGTCGCTGAAGAGTAATAGGACCCCACAAGCACAAAATGATGTTGACCTATTCACCCCATATGCTCACGGAATTAACTTAATTCCCCCTTAATTAAAAGAATTGTTAATCCCTGTAAAGCGAGGAGTCATTTCAGCGCCTATTTAAGTAAAACAAGATTCGTCAGAACGTTTAAATGTTCATTGCGGGAAGGTGTGTCATACGTAATTAACAGTTAATTAGCCCCACCTAGGTACCTCTTGAGTAGGACTTGCACTTGATAAAGATGACTAATACCCGTAGCGCGATTAGGTAGATAACTTAATTATTCGTTTTCCGTTATTGTACAACATGAATAATGTACGGTATTACACAAAAAATTTATTTACAAAGGTGATCGTCTACCTTTGCTACACCTTTGAAACACCTGTGTGACGTCATAAGCGCACAACAGAAACATGGCGTGTGGTCAACAACCGCAATTGTTTAGTTTATGTTTAGTGTTGATAACGTACAGTGATTTTTATGTAACAGCGCAAAATGGCTACTACGGCCCTTATTACCAACAAAATAAACCAAACGAGAATTATCGGCCTCCTGAACCAGGTGACCGAGATTATCGAACATTTGTTTATAAAGGCCGAAGGTATGGGCAATATCAACCGAACAATTTCGACTGGCAAGGCGCACCGGGTGATCCCCAAAGAGTAGGTCAAGATGCTAGGTTTCGATATGATCCAGTAAGTAATTTGATGCCACATAAGTATGTAACATTTTATTAGTGATTGACCAATTGCAAGGTAGGAAATGCCGAACCCATTTTACCCGGAATTCTGGGAGGTTGGAGAGAAGATTTACAAGGTAAACGTAGACCGGATACCATCTATAAGGACATGAATGTTTTTGTGAAGACCAAACACGGAGAAGTGCAAGGATTTAAAGTGTTTCTGTATGATACCCCTGATCCGGATTCACTATATAGGCCTGGATCGGAATCTATCGAGAGGGAGCAAGGGTATACTGTTTCTTTCTTGGGAATTCCATATGCGTTACCACCAGTAGATGAAGGGCGCTTTAAGGTGATATACCAAAACACTCTTTAGCTTAATTTTATTAGTACATTTGCAGCCACCTAGATGGCATAAGGGTTGGCAGTTAATGCAGGCTACAGACTTCGGTCCAGCTTGTCCTCAGCCTGTTCGCTATGTTGGTGCATCAAAGGGGGTGAGGGATATGGACGAAGATTGCCTATACCTCAACATATTCACACCATCTGTAAGTGTATGTTTAATTTTAGCATAACATTATTATATTTCTGCAGATAGGTGGGGTATCTCTAAATTTTCCAGTGATGGTTTATATACATGGAGGAGATTTTATGCATGGAGCATCAAATACTTTCCCTGGCCATATAATGGTTACATTCTTCAAGGTTGTGGTGGTAACCATAAATTATCGTTTAGGAGCTCTTGGTACTGTCACATTTGCCACATACAGCAACATTGTAAAATTGTTTACTAGGTTTTTTGAGCACTGGCGATATAAATTCTCCTGGTAACTACGGAATTCTAGATCAATCAATGGCTTTACGTTGGGTATATGAAAATATTGAATTTTTTAATGGTGACAAAAATTCTATAACATTATTTGGACCTGGGGCCGGTGCAGCATCTGCTGGACTTTTAATGGTTGCACCTGACACCAAACATATAATAAACAAAGTTATTGCGCAGGTAATTAATCACATGGTAAATATCTGTTCCATTTATTCAATTTTAGAGTGGGTCAGCAGTGGCAGATTGGGCATTTATAGTGGACAAATATAGAGCTCAAAATACAAGTAGAGTTTTTGGTCAGCTTTTAGGATGCAGCATTGACTCTTCTTGGAAATTAATAAATTGCCTTAAGCAGGGCCGTAGTGCTTTAGAATTGGGGAACGCCGAATTTCCTCCTGAAATCGGATTGTTCCCCTGGGGTCCTGTCGCCGAGATGAACGTTACAATGCCATACTACGAAGGGTGGTACGAAAAAGATTGGCATTTTATAGATGACACTCCTGAGAATTTAATCAAGTCTAGAAGATTCAATCCTGATCTCAAATACATGTCTAGTGTAACAATAAAGGAAGCATCTGATTTTATTTGTAATTGCATAGTATTGGACGATGCGATTTTTTAATGTTATTTTTTAGACAAAAATGAGAGCCTGGCACCGTTTTTTGAGATAGGCCAGCAATTTGTTGACCAAAAGATTCGCGAATTTGTTTTGCGATTTAATTATACGCTAAATCCAAATGGAACATATGACGCTATTAAATATATGTATACATATTGGCCCGATCCCAATAATCGCACATTTATTCGTGAACAATATATTAATGTAAGTATTTGAGTGTACTTCGGTGTCACAGTCTCTATATTTCGAACAAATTTTTTTGTTATATAGATGGCTAAAAGCACTGGAACTACTTGTGGCCGTTCTACTTGCAAAAGTATTACTGAAATAAGTGCATAATATTCTGTATGCTGATTTATGATTTCGTATTAGTATCTTACATACGAATCGTATTGTTAACAGATGCTGTCTGACTTCCTGTATGTTGCACCGAACGACAAAATGATAAAACTGCTTGTGGAAAGAAATGTTCCTGTATATATGTATCTATTGAACACTACCGTGGAATCATTTAATTATCCAGAATGGCGTAAGGTGCCCCACGACATAGAACACTATTTATTGTGCGGCGCGCCCTTTATGGACGTCGAATTCTTCTCAGAAAAGGAACACTTCACGAGAAATCAATGGACTAATAACGACAGAAATATGAGTTACTTTTTTATGAGGGCTTATACAGACTTCGCGAGACATGGGTAATAATGGAAATGTTAATTGATCATTTTTTTAACATCAGCGACTGTTTAGCAATCCTTCACACACGCAAATATTGGGTATTCACTTTGAGAGTGCAACGAACGGTCAGTTGAAATACCTTAATCTGAATACTACATTTAATTCTTCCATAATGTGGAACTATCGTCAAACAGAATCAGCTTTTTGGACGCAATATTTACCTAAGGTTGTAGGACATCTGGTGCCTACGTATCCTCCTACAACCGAGGTAAGTGAGATGGTATGGTTTTAGATACTATTAACATTAAACTCTTGTAGTTTTGGTGGGAACCACGAGCTCCTTTACAAATAGCATTTTGGAGCATGTCAGCAGTGTGTCTTATTTTAGTAGTTCTGTTGGTGATGTGTTGCATGTTGTGGAGAAATGCCAAAAGGTGTTAATTCAAAATTTGAAAACTACATTATTTACATTATCTTTGACAGGCAGTCCGATCGATACTATAATGGCGACTTATTCTTAGGAAATGAAGTTGATCACGATGTAGGGATTGAAAATGCAAGAAGTCAGGATATTTACGAATACACGGACAAGCCAAAAACACCTGCATTTAGTGAATCTGTACATGCCGTTAGTAGTCCCTCTATTCGCACCGAAAGCGCAGTTTCCTTGAAAGATATGGGAGATTCGCGAAAACCCACTCCTGTTACGCCGAGTTTGAAATATTCTAGAAGTAAGACGCAATTGATTGAAGGAGTCCCTCAAACTGATGTTTGATACACGAGAAAGACTATTTTGCTCAGTGTATTGTTCACATCGTTATTGTGCAAAGCCAAAGAGTGAACTTAGGCAGATGACTAAAAACTAAGAAACATTTGAAGAAAAGTGTAAGGTGCATAATGAACTGTTTAGAGAACTTTTAAATAAATGCTATACATATATCAAATACAATGCAGTATAATGGATACAGTCTCATTCCACTGAAGTTCCTACTTGATTAGATAGTCTGTTTCCATCATGTTGACTACACCAATTAAAAAATATATATATCCATTCTAAATATTAATCCATACCATATTCATTATGATAATGTGTACTTTTAGTCAACCTGCTGCATAATGGACTGTCATAATTTTTCTCATACACGACGCTCAACATATGTGATCTTCATGTTTCTTGTAATAGGCTTACTGATGGTAGCTTTAAACAAATTGTGTGGGCGTAAATTGATAAGGAATACATAGCTAGAATGATTAATCTTGTATGCTACAACTAACTGCTTAGGAATTATGTGTTACAAATCTGTGATATTTCGTTTATTTCACAGCGACAATGCCTTTCACTGTTATCATTATATCATAGTATAGTATAGTGTTATATTATGATTATATGTATTACGACACAATTTTATAAGATGTGAATATGAAATATTCACCATTATATGTTATCGCATATAACATAGTGATTAAAGATTGCTATGTAGTATTTTTTAATTCTTTGGTATAATGTATTTAATACAAAAATGTGTTCAAATGAAGAGTTTAGTTTACTCTAATTGTAAATGTAGGTAGGTATAAGACTTTTATATGATTCTATGTTATGCTTATGTAACTATTTAAAAAAAAATGAGTTTACTTTTTTATAGATAATTTATGTAAAATGCTTTTCGCATTTTGGCAAATACATCTTTACATGCAATATTTTTCTGTTGTGTGTAGTGGTATGAAACTGTCTTAATTCGTTTGTAGTAGGTGCTGCAAATGCTGCCAAATTCTTGACGGAACAGCTTCCTAGCTCAAACAATAAATCGCGCTATTGGAAAGAGTGTCTGCAAGAAATGGTAAGTGTATGGAAAAAATGTTTCCTACGACAGGTTACTATTTTCCCATGTAGAATTAATAAGAATATTGTATAAAAAAGTATATAAGTTAATCTGTGATAGCAGGTGCATAGAACATGAGGTTGCTCATCAGTCATCACTATACACAGTTAGCAATTACTATAACTGACTGTTTGATTGCTGAAAATACACATAAAACACTGACCTACTTCAAATGTAGGGATGATGGCCACCCAAAAGCACTAGGTAATAGCTGTAAATCTCGCTTCCAATTTCGAAAATTTTATCTCTACAATTAGGTTTACTACGTATATTTTTTCCTAAATTTGGAGAAGTGTTGTTATTAAACTTTTATTTTGTTAATAGGTCTGAGTACGAGACTAGAATGGCCCATTCACGTATAGTGATGAATGTCGTAGAAGGCGCTCAATGAACAGAACAAACCGACTCCATATTATCTCTTTTTCGCTGGTCAGTGTTGGAGGAAGGGTAACAACCGACTCATATACCTTATGGAGAAAATGGCAAACGATAGACCACAATAGGTAGTTAAGAAAGGTACATATATGTATACCGTACCAAGCTTATGTTAGGCTGAATTGGGAATAATATATATATACATTATCAAAATAACCTCTTGCCCTAGAGTGTGAGGATTGGGAACATTATAAAATATAAATCGTCTCTTCATAAAAGCTATCACTATATATCTCATTTTTCATCTTGGGACTGTCATTTTATGGGAATAATAAACCTATAAAATGACAGTCCCGAGATGAAAAATGAGATATATAGTGAGAGCTTTTATGAAGAGACGATTTTATAATGTTACATATTTGATATTAAGTGTGCGTTTGCATGAGTTGAGGCACAGCCATTATTCATTTCTTTCTATGTTGATCTTTGAAACTATTAACTTGCTCATTTATTAATTAATTTATTCAACGGAAATACAGAACATACCTATAACACTATAATATATATATATATATATATAACACGCTACGACAAAACTCAATAGGTAACAGAACAAGGTGTACTATAAATCAAAATTACTAAAAAGCTAACTAGCTTGGCGATTAACAGATCAGTAAGCACAGTCTTGTTTTGATTCGTACATTGTAGGCATTGCTTGAAAAATAATGATAAAAAATAATTACTTTGTTTTTTTTAATTTAAACGATCCTTCTTTATTACTTTCCATTATTATTATGAACACGCGAATTATAAGTCTGTGATAAGATACAAGTGCTTTATTACCGGATCAAATATTAATTATAATTGGCCAAGTAAAAATCATCAAAGGCGATTGTGTCCATAAAGTAAATAGAATATGAAAATTTGATTGCATGTAGGTTTTTATTGGAATGTATTTATTATGGATCCAGTTTGTGCCCCTACATCGTCTTCCATAAATAGTGTAGGTCATGAAGCTAAAGAAAAAATAAAAACACCCTCGGATAGATAATTAAAATCGGCATCATGTCACCAAAAAAGCGTGCCTAAGCCCTTTTTTAAAAGTGTAAAAATTAATAAATCCAAAAAGTTGGTAAAAAATTGGTTGGTCATGATTTACCTACCACATTAGTTACCTAATTGTTAGATTTAACTGTCATCTCTAATAAACTGGTCAATATGAGTAATAATTACACTACCTACAGAAGAAAATGTCTTTATTGTAAAATCGTTTTATGCTGGGAATAGTACACGGCGAAGTTCGTGATTTGGTTGCTGATAGGTCAATCATTTATATAGTGTAATTATTTCACCCTTTCGTGGTTGAAGTGATATGATAGTCAAAGGAACAATTTTTTTAGTAGGTTCTTTGCAAGTGCGACACGTCACTCCATGACCAACCAGTTTTCACCAATTTTTAGGATCTTTAATTTAATTTTTAGGCTTGCATGAGACCTCACAGTTGCGTATTTTTATGTCATCCGATGGATATTTTAATTATCTATCTGAGGATGTTTTAATTTTTCCTGTAGGATGAAATGGGGAGCAGGTCAACTTGCCACGCTGTATATATATATATGATTTTTCTTTTACCAAAAACTATTTTTGAAATAATTAAATTCACCTCGTACACATGACTGTCTATACTTAGAACATGAAAATAGTCCTAATGTCCGCGTCCCATTGTCGGCGTCCCAATGTTTGCGTCCTAATATCTTGCGGCCCAATGCCATACATATCATGCCAACAACTTGTGCACTCAAAGAAGTATCTAACTTGCCAACTTCTCAATTTATTGTGAATAACTAATAGACAACATATAATATATTGAAGTTCAAAACTGTTTATACATTTTATCAATCAAAAGTTTTAAATCCATAAGCAACATTGTAAACCACCACTGCAGTACCCAAACAGTGCTAATCCGAGCTTGCACTCTGCTTGGCATATCGTTCCGCTATGCGCACTATTTTCCACCCTGCAAGGGAAACCATCTCCTGTAAAGATATATGTAAAAATGTTGCACAACTTAGATAATTAATAACGTTACCATATGTACTTACTACCCGCATTTTGATGGGGATGAGAAAATCTCATAATGCTCCTGGCTGCTATTTGTGTTGTGGGTTCTTCAGTAGGTTCAGCCGTGACAATTTGTTGTACTGGTTGATATGCTACTGGTTGTACTGGTTGATATGCTACTGGCTGGTGCTGTACTGGTGGCTGTTGTACTGGTTGATATGCTGCTGGTTGGTGCTGTACTGATTGCTGTTGTACTGGTGGCTGTTGTACTGGTTGATATGCTACTGGTTGGTGCTGTACTGATTGCTGTTGTACTGGTGGCTGTTGTACTGGTTGATATGCTACTGGTTGGTGCTGTACTGATTGCTGTTGTACTGGTGGCTGTTGTACTGGTTGATATGCTACTGGTTGGTGCTGTACTGATTGCTGTTGTACTGGTGGCTGTTGTACTGGTTGATATGCTACTGGTTGGTGCTGTTGTACTGGCGGATGGTGTACTGATGGCTGTTGTACTACTTGTGGCTGTTGTACTGATGGCTGTTGCACTGGTTGGGGGTGTACTGGTTGAGGGTGAGGTACAGGATGATGACCTGATGGTTTATGCGCTGTATACCCTCCGTGGTTCTGGTTATATTGTGGTATGGAATACGGATATTGAGTCAATTGTTGGTATAATTGACTCTGCCATGGTATGATAACATATGGGCTATACGAGGAGCTATAGTATCGTTGCGGTGTCGTATAGCTTGAATAGCTTGGATACTGCACATACTGTTGATAAGGGTAGTATCGCCGTACACCATTTACGAACATCAAAGATGACAGAATAAAGATCAAAAGCTTCATTGTGCTATTTTTTCTTTCTTCTTTATCTAAGCTGCTCACCTGTGCATATGATCAAGAAGTACAGTAACCGCATTTATATACGAATCAATCATTTGCGTAACAAATTATTGTAATAATCTCTCAAAGGTACCGAAAAATGAATATTCAGAATTAATGATTACTATCGCAATATTTCCACATGCGAAACAAATTGACTCGTTTAATTATACTGATCTATTTTAAAATGTATAAAGGAGCATCAGAAATCAAATTGAAAATTTGTTGTTATGGTTTTTTGCAATTGGTTACTTAAGATTTGCGAAATAAAGCTGTGACCAATTTTCCGTATATGATTTTGAATTGGATATAAATTATTAATGTATATCTAACGTTATACAGTAAAATCCACATTATTTAATAATTACTTCAAAATAAAAAAATTGATTGGAGTTAATGTATACTGTTTTTAAAACGTATATGCAATGCAAAGGAAAGTAAATTATTTTTTTGATCATTTATATTTATGCCTCATTGCGGAATGTAGTATATTGAATCATTTAAAATGAGATTAAACAGCAGACATAACGAAAATCGTAAGCTTTTTCTGGCAGGCTTTTTGAACCGTTTCTTTATCAATAAAAGTGATGTTAGTGGAGGTAGGTCTAGTAAGTGTTGCATATTATTTATTTATTTTACATTAGGCCAAAACCAACAGATCTGCATAAGTATAGCTGTTACGTCTCTTTGTAATATAATTTGTCCTGATAACCTTAATTTTACAGCCAGTCTTCAATTTCATCATTAGAAAGGGCTTGAGAAAGACTTCTTTTCCATACAGTACGGTTCACTTAATCGTCTGTTACTAAGCATAACATTTTTGGTGATTTCTTCGTCGGATTCGTTTTTAAACGAAGTCTTTCGGTGCTTTCCTAGGATTTCAAAGAGGAATTTTCAAATTTTGCCATCTTTCAAAACCCCAAACCAATATTGTGCAATTGCTGCTGCAATTCAGATGGTTTTTACTTGTAACGTTTGCCAAATGTATCGTCAAATTTTTATTTTCTCTAAAGATCACAAATCATCTACGGATCCCATAACTTATACATACCAGTTGAGTACTGCCACGTATGGTGTTTATTCTGCAACTTTTTTGGCCATTAGAACTTTGTTAGAACTTGCTTCAAAATTACATCAGATTTCAGATCATTTTGTTTATCCCAGTTGCGTCGTTGAACAAGCATTGTATAGTTACATTTTAAGATTTTGCTATAACCTTGGGAGCCAAGGAGTGTGATAATTCGTTATTGATCGTAACTAGAGTGGTCCAGGAAGGATCTATTTCCAGACTTCATTTGAATCGTCCTCTGCCACAATGGCTCGCAAAATTAACCCCTATCGTGGACGGAGATAACGTAATTCGTGTAGACAGTCGTTTGGACAACTCGTAATTGCCTTTTGAGTCTAATAACATCTTGCGCTATTACCGCATTACTTCTGCGAGGACCCGCGGAGTAAAAATTAGGCTCATTTATGTTTGTTAGTTTGCTTCGCTACGAAGGCGATCCGTTTAGAAAGCTCTACTTCGTTATCGACTGAAGTATTTATAGTGAAATAGCAGCTATTTGCTGAAACCTGCTCTCTGAATAAACCCTATGCCTAAATTTGCAAAGACTTATTCGCATTAGTGTTCTAGATAATGATTGATCCAACTCCCCATTGGTCATTCTTTATTGTACCTCGTCACTAAATGGGAAAAGTAGCGTGCCTGTGGAAAATTTTTTAAGATTTCTCCTTACACCCATAAAAATCTTACTGTTTTGAAAGAATTTGGAAAAGCAGTGGGTAACAATACAACTTTTCACGGCTAAATTTGGATATCTGGTCGTGTTTGTAGACGTATAGGCAACACATCACACATCCGCCTCAAGCCGGCCCTGTCCATCACCCACTGAAAATTCAGCAATTATTTGAATGTTTTGACATTTGTCAACTTTTTAATTATGCCGATGTTTGACAAGGCAACAACAAGTTATTGACTATTTATGCAATTTGCCAAATATGCAATAGTAAGTGATTTATTTAACCTACTTTTACACCCCTAAAGGTGTCTTAAGTCATTCGTTCAAGAATCAAAGTGAATCTTAAATGCACCTGCCTCTACATTTAGTACTTATGTTTTTAGAATTGTGAAGAAATGGATTACAAATATTTAATTAAACCCAAATAAATACTACAATAAATTGAACCTTTAAATAAGCCCATGGAAGACGTAATACCTGGGGACGAAGAACCTACCGGCGAACGTTGGGATCCCTTAGGAGCTCCGAATGACAATGAAAAGGATGCTACGAATTTTGGATACCTAGAAAGAGAGCGCTGTGACTGTTCTTACTGGTAACGTCCCTCAGTACGCATTGTCCATATGTTTCGTTCAATTGTATTGATTTCCAGCTTAGATTCATTAGAAAAGTTAAGATGTTTGGAGGAAGAACAGGAGCAGTTGAACTCTTCGCTTTTTGCACTAACCACCCATTTCGCTCAGGTAAAAACATTTATCATGATACACATCGTTTAAACATTTAATTAACAGGTGCAATTCCGGTTAAGGCAAATAGTCGACGCTCCAAGATCTGATAAGCAAGAATTACTGAAGGCCTTAGAGGAATTTGCCTTTCGAGGAATTCCCGATATCGACCTGGTGAGAGACAAGATAGACGAGGCGAATCTCGCCGAGACTATGAGATTGAGACGCGTTCAGCAGCAACAGCTTATCAAGCAGTTAAAGAAACAATTAAGCGAGTTGGAGCGGTACGCTTTCGAAACTGGCGAAGCGGACGTTCCTCAAGATGTAGTGTTGGAAAGTCAGAGGGTTATTTTAAATGAGCTGAAAGTGCGGATGAATTTGGAATTGGATGAGCAGAAATATTTTCAGGTGTGTAAAAGATGGTCTGCCTAAAAGCATTTTCCGATTGAATTTGGAAGAGGTCTATCTAAAGAACCGAGGACATAATTGAATAAACTAAAAATTATTTTGTGTACTCTGTGGATTAAATCACCCATTCATTTAAGGGACGAAAGTGTTACTTTTTCTCCCTGAGAGATTAAAAAGCAATGAGGGACGAACAAAATGATTTGTCAGACATTATTGTGTCTGACTATATTTAGTAACTAACTAATGGTTATTATTTCACAATATTTTACAATCATACACTTATTCATACTGTTAATTATTAAATTTTTTGTTAAATTGTCTTAATGAATATTGACTATTGGTACCGCTGGAAAGCATTTTTCAGTAGTTTTCCAACGATGCGTCACAAGTATGGGGTTGCCATTTAGGATTTTTGAAGAGGGGTGCTGGGGGGTTGTCACTCATGACGTTATTCTGGTTCTCCCTCGATACCCCCGAAACGGTTTTGCGAGATTTTCAATATCTTCTTTAGTTTGGAAAATATGGCCGACTGCAAGTTTTAAATTTGACACCCCGTATATAATTTGGGATTTGGAAGGCAATAATTGCATCATAGCGGATCCTGAGCCATTTGAAACAATCATTTCTACACAGTCGTTTTGTACACTAATTTTAAAATTAAGCGCACATTTATTATTATACCGTAGCATTGCAAGGGCGCAAGCATTGCGTATGTACCGATATTTTTGATTTTGAGAGGTTTTCAAAACATTATTTTGCGCCTGCACAGTGCTAACTTTCTTATTTACAAAAGCATTTAAATGAATTTTGATACATAGGCACTTGGAATAAAAGTAAATCTAACATCAGTTTCAAATTTTGATATTGCGCATGCGCAATGCAAATTTTATTATTTGTGAAATTATTTAAATGAAATTTGATGCAGAGGTGCTTGGAATAAAAGCAAATCTAACACCAGCTTCAACATTTGGTTTTGCGCATGCGCAATTCCAACTTTTCATTTACCAAAGCATTCAAGTGAAATTTGGTACATAGGCACTTGGAGCAAATCTACCAAAACCAGTTTCAAAATTTGGTTTTGCGCATGCGCACTGCTAACTTTATTATTTACGAAAGCATTTACATTAAAATCAGCCTGTATACAGGGTCCTTACAACAGTGCGTCGATCTTTCCTAGCACATGTCAACTATTTATAGATAGTTGCATATCTACAGAATTTATTTTTTAATGTACAGGGTGTTCCATTTTTATGGTGTCAATAAATAACGGATTTTTTAAATAGAACACCCTGTATATTTTTTATTTGTTTTAATGTCATTTGTTAACGTCTACATGGAAACCTATTCATTGTTTTGTGGTTTTGATGGTGATGTGACGATTCTTGACCTGTGTTGAGGAAAATCTTTTATTGAATGCTGTGCAGACTGGGAGGCGTGACATCGGCGAATTTCTGCAGACTGTCTGAAACCCGATACCACCATAATATTGGAACGAGTCTCCTAATACTTGACAAACATGCATGTTGCATTCTCATTTTAATTAAATGCATCTTTTTTACTTTTTTACTAACGTCATTGTGCTTTCACTAAATTAATCCAAATTTTTCTGCTCTTGTCACTTGTCTGTTGCTTCTCAAGGGAGATGGATCGCACTCCACGTTACAAACAACACCTTTTTCGCGGCGCAAATTTCGTTAATCATTTTTTTAATGTAATTGTCTTCTGATGTAAAAATTAGCGAGTTAAAATGGATAAGAGGTAGTGTACACCCCTAAATTAAACACTATACAATTTAATCGGCGTTTATTCAGCAGTACCTGTTCTATACATTGCTCTAACTATCGACCGTCTTTCTTGGATGTCGCTTACAAAGTCCCTTATGTCATATGTGTAGGTCGCGCGCTTTCACGCCCCCTGGTGCCTTAGCGAGCCATAATAAAACGTGATGTTTTCATGTCTGCTTACATGTATGTAAATTATGCGAAATCTTCAACAGTATAAATGTTTTTTTTTCATTGGCAACAAGACCAACGGACAAATTATCTGACCGAACTTTACCCTTAATTTCTAGCTGACGCCAGCAGATGTTAAGCAACAGGTAGACGTTGCGTTAGGTCAACTAGTAACCCCTTTACGTATGAAAGAACATCTTGTCGCCCAGTTGAAGACTCAAGTAGCAGATTTGGAGAGATTTATCAGTTATCTACAAGCAGACAGTAAAACCAACACAAAATGCTCGTGCGGATGTGCGCGTCATTCTGTAGAAAAGAAATACAAAGCGAGCTCTGCTGGAATGATCCAACGAACTGCTGCCTTGTTGCAAATGTTTGCCATGTTGCAGCTGGGTTGTGGGTCTCACCAATTTAAAAAGAACAATTTGAAGACAACCACGAAATGTAATCATTGGGGGTAAGTCCGATGAATGAACGCCTGGTATTTTCAACAATTGTCATTGCAGAGATTTACGAGCGAAAATGGAGATTGCCATAGCCAAAGTGGTCGAAGTGGCAAAAGCCACCGAAGTCAGTAAGTCGGTCGAACAGGGTAACTACAGCAGCGACAGTGAATCTTCCACCGCTTTATGTAACGTGCAAGTGACGAGGGCAGTACGAAAGTATTTAGCAACAAGCATACGCGATCTCATGCAACACGGCGTCGTCGCCGAGGTTCAAAGCCACAGCCTTGTGCCATTTATCGGATGCTTGTCTCGTAAATTCAAAGTCTGCGACACCCCGATACACGCCTGGGAGATAATCGTTTATTACTATCACCTAAAGAATGGAGAACGATTCAATTCGACGCCCGCTAGAAAATTGTCTCAAAGCTTTAATCTCGATATCGCCGGATCTTCCGCAAATTCAAATAAGCAAAATATGTTGAGCATTATCGGAAACATAATCGCGACACATTCCTTGTATAAACGGAGTTATGATTCTCATTTTAAGGCGTTTATTTGCGCCGCTTTAAAGTAAGTGTCAAAGTCTTGCCTTCAGTTGTCTAATAAACTCGATTGCAGCGCAAAGAAACTAGTTACTTGGTTAAGTCTGATATTTCAATGTAGAGCCCTCGTCGACATGCATTATCAGCCATGGAGCTACATGATTAAAACTGGTAAACTTAGTCGGTTGATGTGTTTTGTGTTTAATAAGAATGTTATAGGATTCTCTGATGGCCTACAAAGTTTGGACACTTTAACAAATTTTAAGTTTGATCTGCCCGTTGATCTCGCCATTCGTCAATTTCAAAATATTAAAGATGTTTTCACGTAATATTTTATTATAATTTTGATTCCATACTGTGATATATCCTGTTTTTGTTTTATTTAAATAATTGTTCAAATCAATCATTTGTGAATTTGGCAAATACATATAATGGTGTAATAACTGGATTTATTATTTCAAGGAGAGTACATTTGGACCCTTCATATGTCAAAACAGGTATTTAAAATTACTTGAGAACATCGGGCTGTAACCCTGTATTCATTTCTGTTGTGTTACACAAAGATGGATTGTTTTTGACAGCCGTAGTGGGTTCATGGAAAGAAAAAAGTTACCATGTGTATAGCTTTCATTGATGGCTGACCAGCTTACATGGTTTGTTGACCGGCTTTCATCTCATCTTGATTCTTGACCAGCTTTCATTTCTTGCATTAATTGTTGCACTTGTTCCATTTTGTAGATCTATTGGGATAAACTTTTACTAATTGCCCACTTACCAGACACTGGACAGCAGTGTAACGTAAATTTAATTACGTGAGTTATTTTATTTATAATTAAATTAACAATAAATAACAGCGCGAACTATTTATAACTGCCGCGTTGAAACTGGAACTGACTGAAACGCAGTTGGATTTGCTTATAACTAGGGATGGGCGATAACTGTTTTCACCTATCGATAAGTATCGGGTACTTACCTATCGATATATTTTACTTATCGATATGCCGATAATTACCGAAATTTCGATGGTTATTGATACATAGATAACTATCGAAATATCGATAAGTATCAGTATATCGACAGTTATCGATATGTTGATAGTTATCTATATATCGATAGATATATCGATAGTTATCGATATATCGATTTTTTTAGCTGTTCCTATTGTTATTCGATATATCGATAACTATCGATACCTATCGATATATCAAAAAAAATTCCCATGGCTAGTTATAGACTACTTAGAAACCAATTTCGAAAGAAAATTCAAAGGGCTGTAACTTTTAAACTAGTAGTCCAATCTTGGAACTGTTTGAAATTGTGTATTCTACAGGCCACATTCTATAAGAAAATATTATTTCCGGGTCGATCTGAGACAATGTTTTTTTCGAACCTCAAAAAAAGGCAGTGTACAAACCTTCCTTTTTTACCAAAAATCGACTGCACCAAAATTTCTCGGGAAAACACCTTTTCTTATTAATTTTGCTGTGTAGAATCCAAAACAATTCGTACTTTTTCGATCAGACTTCTCAATCAAAAGTTATGGACTACTTAGGATACCAATTTCGAAAGAAAATTCAAAGGGCCGTAACTTTTGAACTAGTAGCCCAATCTTGGAACTGTTTGAAATTATGGATTCTACAGGCCACATTCTATAAGAAAATTCTTTTTCCGGGTCGATCTGAGACAATGTTTTTTTCGAGCCTCAAAAAAAGGCAGTGTACAAACCTTCCTTTTTTATCAAAAATCGACTGCACCAATATTTCTCGGGAAAACACTTTTTCTTATTAATTTTGGTGCGTAGAATCCAAAACAATTCGTACTTTTTCGATCAGACTTCTCAATCAAAAGTTATAGGCTACTTATCGATAAGTATCGGGTACTTACCTATCGATATATTTTACTTATCGATATGCCGATAATTATCGAAATATCGATGGTTATCGATATATCGGTACCTATCGATACTTATCGATAACTATCGAAATATCGATAAGTATCAGTATATTGACAGTTATCGATATATCGATTTTTTTAGCTGTACCTATTGTTATTCGATATATCGATAACTATCGATACCTATCGATATATCAAAAAAAATTGCCATGCCTACTTATAACCCTATATAGTAAAGATTGCGTCACAATTCGCCATCGTTCTTTATCGCTGCGAATGGCGCACATGCTGAAAAACGTTGGTATTGTAAAAGAGCATAGACATTAGACAGTTTTTTTTTTGGTTTCTGTTTCTTTTAAGGTCAGGTTGTTTTGATTTTTTTGTCGCCCCCTTCGTGATAAATAAGCATTCACGCCTCTTTTGCTACTGGAAAGCATAAAATACTTGTCTGTTCATCTAGATTTAGATGGACTCACGTCTCTTTGTACTGTACACCTATGTCAAAGAGCCTCGGGCCATTCATTTTTGTTTTAACTTGCATTAAATGGTTCAACCTTATACACAAGTAACTGACCATGCGAAACATCCTCGTATCTGAACCTGACTCTTTTATCGGACTTTGAGATCTGCGCATGCTCTAGATTCAAGGTCATTCAATTCGGTTTTGTTTGTGAACGGAAACAAATGTCTATATCAGAAATAGGTTAAGCAGAAACGAGTTTGTATCGACAACGAACAGGTCTGCTGGGTAGAAACAGGTCCGTTTCACAGAATCAGGTTCATTTAACCGACCTGTTTCCGTCGACAAGCAGAACCGAATTGAATGACCTTGAACTTGGCGCACTACGTTCCAGTGTGCGAATTCAGAAGAAACCATAGCTATAATACAGCACTGCTAAATGTTACAAACGACAATTTTCATGCTACTGATGCACAGACGGACGACCGGATAAAACCAAATTTACTAGGGTTATAGTACTTATCATACCAAAGGTTCAAGATCCTAACCAAATTTACTACAGTTCTTCCTTGGGCCAAGAGGAACCTGGCGGAAACACTATCGGATAGACGGACGAACAGACAAAACAAAATTCAAAAGGCCCTTACTTGGATCTACATACCGAAAGTACCAAGTACTTAACACGTTCCGTTCCTATATATACAAAATTTCTCATGTTTGAGAGTTATTGTGCGCACTGGCGGATAGACGGACGGATGGACAACCACACTATTTCCAATCAACGGTATGCCGTATGTGTATGCAATACCTAGGGGTGGCATTAAGTGTCATTACAAGCAAAAAAATTTTGAGTTAATGAAAAAGTACCAGTAACTACAAGTTTCCGTATTGCAAAGGGGCAAAGAAACACTTGTCCAGTAGGGGTGGTGAAGGTTCTAATGTCAACTGTTTATAGCGACTAAAATGCAACGAATGGAATTAATTTTTACCAACCACAGTCCTCCTCCTCGATCCTTTATCGTGATCAGTTATAATTCAAGAGCGAAGTGCTGGAGGAGTCTACTCACAAGGGGCTGGTGTCATAAGGCGGTACTCATAAGGGGAAGTGGAACGTCTGGACGAGACACATTTACTGGTGATGTCAAAAGTGCCCGTACAAATGTCTGCAGAATGGAGTGTACTCTCAAAAAGCGGTTGATCAATATTAGGTAGCTTTCCTAGCTAACTTAGCATGCTATAACCCAATCATTTATTTAGACTCAAAAAATGCGCTTTATCTACACAATTTGTTTATTATATTATTAGTATAATTATGTACCTACCGGTAATTTAAGTGCATGAGAGCAGTCTTGCATTTCAGTATCGTGTAGCTACATATCGATAGTTATTGTTAAATTAATCTTAGGCCACATGGAGGAGCAGTGCGTTCAAACTGAATGTGGTCCTTTTCCACCTGTTGTTGTTTATTTATGTATCTTTTTTTTTGTTTTTCTGTTTTTTTGGTGGAAAGAAACATTATTGTTACTATTGGGGTCAAAAAGTCAATGCAAAACAAAACAGAAATATCATATTTAATAATATTGTAACATAAAAAACACAGTATACACTATATATAATTCAATAAGAATAAGTTTTATAAGTGATATCAATTCTCCACTGTTCTACTGGATGAGTTGTTGGAAAGCTTTCCGGACAGTAGGGTGTTTGACACTATAAGGCAGTGACCAAGTACACAAGCTCTAAGTAAGAGGTCCCCTTCGCTGCCTTTGACGTATGTTGGAACAAAACATTTTGGTGGTGTGGCGACTTTTACCTCATACTGGTTGCCTTTGCTGTCTTTATGAGATGAATCATCCTAGCACTCATATGGCATTAATTGACCGACCTTGGAAACAGAAAAATATATAAATGGTGCTGTTAATTTTAATTTTAAAAAATGCCAATCGGTGGTTTGGGATCTTGCAAACATCTTTAAGGCTGAAGAAGGTCAATCATCTTGGAAAACTACTTATGGGCGTTTTGCTTGTCTGAGGATGTAAAAGGACACATTTGTCAAGACAGTGTGGAATGTGAAACTAAGGTAGTTCATCTGGGCGGCTTGAATTTTGAACAAACAATGTCAAAACACAAATTTCATCAGAAAAATGACTAAACGCATTTCATAAGTTATTTTTGATGCCCACAGATGCAAATTAGAGTTGTTGGTCATATCAATTTATGCACCAAAGTTCCATTAGGTACCAATTCCTTTGGGAATACTGTGAACTCATCCACTCAAATAAAGATTTGTTCAAATTTGACAAAAAACCGCCGCATGACACGCAACCGTTTTCGTTTTTAAATTTGAACTTAGGACGCAGTGACGAGCTTTCTCATTGGTTAAAACAAATTTGGATCACACAAATCACTGGCGGATCAATGAACCCATAAATATTGTAGATACAGTCCGGTTTTTTATGAATAATTATTGTCAAACGAACTGAGCCAGAATGAAGCGCAATTCCCATTATTGGTGGGACGATTAAAGTAACGCAATAATAATAGTTTCTTATAAAACGGGAAAGGGGAATAAAACTAGGATGCACCTGTAGAAAGTAGTATCGACAATTTTAGTTAGATTTTTAAATCTAGATTTGCGCAGAACATCAATGCTATCTTCAAATTTAAAAATGTTCTGGTGGTAATCCTGCACTGTAACTTTTGTTCTCGCCGAACGTAGTGCGCAAGCACTTTTACGCTTTGAGATGGCGTGTTTTGCTATGTGAAATCCAAGTATAATTGATAGAAATAATAATGGTTCTATCACTGTTGTAGTGGACATGTTTTTAAAAGATCGTGTACAGTGTGTTGTTGGTAGATAACGGCTGAATCCGAAAATGGAGCTAAAATTGCATTCTCCCGCGGGGGCAGAACCTGTCTTATATACTTGGCCGTTAACCTCAGGACGTGGAAATGTAAGATAATTATTAATTATTTGTTCATTCTTGGGATTGGCAGTATTGTCATATTCGCGTGAATCATTTTCCTCTTATCGTGTTTTTGTGAATCCCTAGTCATTTTTCGAGCTATTTTGTTGTACACTTCGGTGTTTGGGGGGCCCTCGTTATTGCAAACCCATGACTACTGGATGTAAATAAACAAATATCGCGGTAATTTGTTTATATTTTATTGTGTTGCTAGTGTGGAGTGAATACGATTGCATAAGTTTGTGTTTATGTAAAATAGTTATCATTTCGGTGTAATCTTTTGATATCACACGTAGTGTCATAGTCTAATCGACACATTGAAAAGCCTTCCTCGTTATTAATGTTAAAGTGGCGGCGGAGACGGCCTGTATCCAAAGAATTTTTATTTACCTATTTCAGCGAACTGCCCGCGTAGGTAGTGATAACCAATAAATAAACGTAAAATTAAGAGGCGTCCATTTCATCGTTGTGATCAGCTGATAAGGGCAACGTGACCACACGCACGTTTTGTGTATACAAATAATGAGAATTCGTTGCACTTGCAACTTATGCATATTATTACTACCTACTTACGTTACTTATCATTGAAAATTGCAAGTGCAGGAATAATTTTAGAAACATTGCATGGGAGCTTAATATAAATAAATATGACAATAGGCGATACACTTACCTTCTTATTTAGTCTAATTTAACTTGCACAGTGGCGTAGGTGGTGACAGATTAGGTGTATACTTTGGGGAAAATAAATTGTCGATATGTTAAACTGTTTTTATTTCTGTTGACATTAGAACCTTGACCACCCCTATTGAACAGGTTTTTAGTGCACTTTCACTTAAAAAAAATAAAAAGTGCACTTTTTCGCTCTTGATGTCTGTCTGTCCGAGTCACGAAGGCTCCGGAGCTACACCACTTACAGGCTTGGGATTGGTGTCATTCGATCAGAAATTAAATATTATTTCATGTTTGTATTCTTGTTAAGGCATGAAATGTCCATAAGGGCTATTAAGATCGAAAAAACAAATTTGAAAGTGCACTTCGCCTTTTGCTCACAAGCGGCTTAACGAATTTTTTCTTTGAACCTTTGCATGCGGACACTTCTTGTTACTGGTGAATATTATTTTTTAATTAAACCAAAATTGTGAATGTTTTCGCATGGTAACTCGGGAACGGAAGATCTTAGGGTTTTGAAACATTGTGTATATGTTACTTTAGGTTTAAGTAAAAAGAAGAACCGTATTGAATTTGGTTTTGTCTGTCCGTCCGCCTGTGCGCCCGGTAACTCGGGAACGGATGGTGGTCCAAGTAAGAACCCTGTTGCATTTGAGGTCACCAAAGTTCCATATGAGAATGTCGTTTTTTGAAAGGGTTTTTGGTTGTCCCCTTCAATACTCGGTGGTTCCTTGTTTGATTTTGATTTTTTTGTATTAAAAAAGTGTGCTGTTGTTGTAATTGCTGATATATTGAAAACAAAGTGTCGAATGAGAGTAGGTACAGAGTACCCACAAAGGGAAAATAGAATGCACTTTTTGGTTCAAACTTAAAACGGCAAGATCACTCTCTTAAAATATATGGGGAAGAATACAAAAATTTAATTAGTAATTAGTTAAAAGAGATGCAGAAAAATGTTTATTACAAAAGTTTCTTTACAATGACTGTTGAATAATCTGCAGTTTTCAAAATAAGTATATGAGGTCAGGTCAAAAAGTTATCGAAGCTAACCTCATTTTGTTATATGTATATTTTAATGTAAAAAATAGCGTATAGGTACAATCGTTATAAAGAATATGTTGTAGTCGCAAGAAACAGTAGACACCGAAGTAGACACTAAATAAGTTCTCAACAAATGTAAGAAAAAGTTAGCACCCCCCAAAATTTCGTTTCCCCCTCTTTAATTTTGCGTTCAATAAATTTTTCAAAATAAGTATATGGGGTCAGGTCAAAAAGTTATGGAACCTGACCTCATTTTTTAAATGTGTATTTTAATACAAAAAATAACATTTTAAATTTTTTGTTTTAAAAATATAACACGCCAAAAATGTATTCCTACCGTTGCCTTCGCAATTGTTTGTGACAGCTGGATTTTAGTTATTTTATTATTAGATCTGACAGGTCTTATTTGAAATAGTGTGGTTGCCCATTCGCCGGGGAAAATACACCAGACTTCCTACTTCACCTATTTTAGTAATACTTCATGGAGATGGACTTCATCAATATTTCTATCTGTTCTGCTGTGCGTCCGTCGGTCTGGAAGCATCCGCAAAGAAATTGTAACTATTAAATCTTATTCTTGTCCGTGAGCCAGGTAAAAAGTTATGTGCCCCATAAAACAGCAATAAATTCTGTAAATTTCGTAATAACATTACCGGATGCGTTTAGCGCTTTAGTTCTAATTTTTAATAGCCCCTCCCCCATTTGTCACAGCTACAAAATTAAAGGTATAGGTTGCGTTGATATATGTCGACCTTGATGCTTTTGGTACTCGAATAAAAGGTCTCGTGGGGTCAAAATTCGACTTCTTCGGGACTATGTTGTTTCTCGTTTGGTCAGTCAGTCAGTCTTGTTTAATTGTAAAGTTGTGTAGAAGAAAAGTAGAGCGTTTAAAGAATTTTCTTTCCGTGGTGATAAAAGTGAATGTTAAGGCGAATGAAGCGGATGCGTATTTTCACGTTTACGAGAAAGCTTAGTCGGAGTGCTGTAGTTATCGAGCTCAGTTTACATCACTAATTAGAACGAGGTCTGTCGTCTAACTAAATTGAGATTCAAGTGCTATAATTGAAGTTGAGAAGTGAAGTTTCGAAGCAATATCACCTGGTGTTTTGTGTTTGTGCGTCATTTATAGTAAACTGCAGTCACGACCGGATATTTTGGATTGAGATTTCTTTAATTAATTGTTCTATCAATCGCTTGTTGCGTGGTATGTGTTGTTCTGGCCCCGAATGCTTGTTTTTCTAAGCTTATTTGATTGTTTTGTGTCGAATAAGTTTGTTCATCTGTAAATGATCGGTTTTGTGATTAATCGAGCCCAAATTACGACCCAGGTAAGAGTTCTCAAGTTAAAATTTTCCATTTCGTGCCCAGAATTACATCAGGTGTTAATTGAAAATCTGAATATCTAGATTTTCATCGTGGACGTGCCCTAACAAAACTATAATCACTTCTTTTAAAGGTGTTGCTAGTACCTGTGTTTAATTGAGCTAGCTGGACAGGCGCTTGTGGGTGGTTTAGTCACCGTTTTACGAACATTTTTGATTAAGGCTCAAATTTTGTAGCTGCTCAGACCAAAAGGGAAGCGGATTGATATAAATTTTTTAAGGACATTTTGTATGTCACTCTCACTGAGTAATACAAGTAACCTACATTACAAGTCGTTCTTGATTGGGACACTTGCAATAATTGTGCTATCTAATCTGCAATTAATTAAAGACCAAACTCCAAGTGTCTTATCGGTAGATGGCCATCACACCCACAATAGCACCCCAATATTCCATATTACTTTTATTATATATTTATATTATATATATATATATATATATATATATATATTAAATTTGAAGTGTTTAACAAAAATGTTCGCCCCCCCTGTTCATATATATTTTAAAGGTGTACTGTACTACCTTTTTTCTAAACCGTACAAGTCTTGGTTACGATATCGCTAACCACTTCCGAGAGCCAAATTAATTTCGCATTTTGTCTCACGTAAATTTGTACGCGCGGCACCAAATTTTTTATTTATGGAGCGGTTTTCTTGAAATTTTAACGGCCAACCCCCTTGAATTAATTCGATGGAATCAATATATCAAAAAATAAGTTTGACACGTTCTGTTGGTGAATGAATTTCGTTTGACAGATATCAATCAACCGGATGTGGCCTTTTTGGCGGTGGCAGTGGCGGTAGTGCAAAATTGTAGAAAGTTTAGAGAGGTCAATAACTTCTACCTCGACTCATTTTATTTGTCCCTCTCTTATTTTATATAGGTCAATTTCTTTAGGAGGGACTTTCGGAATAAGAAGTCAATCCTCTACCAAGCGCCAACGGTCTCTCCGGAGACACAATACATGCCATATGGTTAATTTCGCAGTGAAGATGTTGACACGTAATTTTTGCAAAATTTTGACTACTTTTCATACACGATTAACCAAGAATTAAAGATATTAAAAAAAAGGGAAGCCATCTTACCTTATTATAAGGTAAGGTGTTTACTATTCTAATAAAAAAAAAAAACTTTCCTTTGAGGTTTTTTCCTAATTCCTGGGTAGAAACTGTTTGGTTCAGTACTGTAAAAAAAAACAATCTCATCAACAAAACTTGCAGGTAAAATTCCCCATCGTACTGGGCTTTCCTGTAATCCCCCGCGTTCGTTTACTACAATTCTGCAAATCGCGATAGCTTGAAATCCCTAGGAATGGCAAAAAAATTTCCATGATCTCTCAAAATCCCTGTCATGTTTTGGACTTTACCATGAAACCCGTTTGGTAAGTGAAACGTTAGTAACAGCTGATTTCCACTTGCACTTTTCATTGGGATAACATGTAGTTTCGTTGGCCAAGAACTAAAAATTGACGTTTCACATTTGGGAAGAGTGACGGTCAAAGTCTATAAGCACGCAAATGGCGATTTAGTTCTATTGTTGCCGTTTTCATGTCGCGCGACTTACGATACTAAAGTAATATCGTTTTGCTCCTGTTTAGTGTAAGTAGTTACTCTGAGCCCACGTTGCAGCTTTATCATGAACGTACTATGCAATCTGAAGCGTTTCAGGAACTTTCTTCCCTGCAATTAGGAGGTTGGTATTGTCCGCGTAACACACTACAATATGACTACATCATGCAGTCACGGAATCACATTCACAACGGTCCTAACCCAGGCCCAGCGTTCTACATCGCAATTTCCTGAAGGCTGACATTTGGTAGCGCTTCACAGTATAGGATTCAAATAGATTCAAAGCAATTCATCTTACTTCATCACTTGGTAATTTATGTAGTAAGAGCGCATGATTAACAAGGTCAAATGCCTGAGAGAACTCAATAAACAAACCTAACGCAAATGATTACTATTCAAGGTATTAACAATTTTCGTTCGTTTGTTTTATTCTTATATTCATATTTGCAAAGCAGAGGCGTTTATATCATATGCCCTTTAAGGTAGCACCCCCAACATCGGATTTTGTTAAATGTAATGGCACATATTTGCTAATTCATTGCTGTATTTTGGAATGTTTGGTCCGCCCATTGAGCACATTTTTTTAAAAATTGAGGGTTAAACTGAATCATCGGTAAAATGCATTTAGATTCAAAACTACAAACAACTTTTTCTAAAATTTATTAGCAACAACTTTAACAGTACTTGCCCCACAAACTACAAGTTTGCAAGTAATTGCTTTGTATTAACAGTTAGTGTAACCACGTACTCACATCAGTAAAGTACCTTAAACCACTCTATATCAATAGCTTTAATTGCAAGTTTGAAATTGAATAATTAATTTGAAACAGTTGAAGATGCCTCACAAGAGTCCCATCAATATATTTATCACTCTTATGGCTTTAATACTAAACCACTGTATATTACTTGCTCATTCACTCGCAAGTTTGAAATTAATTAAATTAAAAAAGTTAGGGGTGAAGTTGAAGATTGGTCCTCGATAAACAAATTTTTCAATCTGATCTGAATTCACATTGGGGAATTTATATGCACTTGTCTTTAACAAAATGTTGAATCTAAATTAGGTTAATATTTCAGGACAAACACGACGGAGCTTTGGAAATTGTGGAGACGATCAGGTAAGTGTCGTATATTTTCTTGCGAAATCGTTTTGAAAGTTTTGGTGATAGGTGGGTGTGCGAAGATTTACCGGAACTGAAACTGCCATTAGAAAATAACATTCTCTGTGATTATGACACCCACAGCTATGATAGTATGAAGTCTCTATGTGATAGGTTTAATCGGGCTATCGACAGCGTCGTTGCTTTGGTACGTCGAATTCATTTTAATCTTTGGAAATGTTGCACGTCGGGTTTTAGGAGAAAGGGACGTCGTTAACGGCTCAACGATTAAACAAGTATCCGTCAAGAGGTTTACTGCGGCATATCCTTCAACAAGTTTATAACCAGGCTGTTACTGATCCCGACAAGTTAAATCAGTACGAACCATTCTCACCGGAGGTGATACTACAAATTGTTTATAATTGTGTATAATCATGTTGTGGAGTAGGTATATGGCGAAACATCGTATGACCTTGTTTGTCAAATGATAGACCAAATTGAAATAACTCAGGATGATATTTTTATTGATTTGGGGTCGGGTGTTGGGCAAGTAGTTCTGCAAGTCGCTGCCGCAACACCCTGTAAAGTATGCCTTGGAGTGGAAAGAGCAGAGGTTCCTAGTCGCTATGCCGAAGTAAGCCTGGCTGTTACCATCCACTAAATCGTAACCCATATTTTTCAGGCTATGAATAAGTATTTTCGTTCATGGATGCAGTGGTATGGCAAAAAGTTTGGAGAGTACAAACTAATTAAGGGAGATTTTCTGATGGAAGAGCATCGCGAGAAAATTACATCAGCGTCGATCGTGTTTGTTAATAACTTCGCGTTCGGTCCGTCCGTTGACCATCAGTTAAAGGAACGGTTTGCCGATTTAAAAGATGGGGCTCGTATTGTTTCGTCGAAGAGCTTTTGTCCGCTAAATTTTCGCATTACCGATCGTAATCTCAGTGATATCGGTACTATTATACATGTTTCTGAAATGTCACCGATGCGAGGATCCGTCTCTTGGACCGGCAAACCGGTTTCTTATTATTTGCATATTATAGATCGTACCAAGTTAGAACGCTACTTCCAAAGGCTTAAACATCCAAAAAATAAGGTAGGAAATTATGATTGTTATTTTTGTATGGTGAACAATTTAATCAAACTATTTTTGCCAAACAGAAATACAATTTTGCTATCCCTTTACTTTTTAGTTTCTACTGAGGCTCCCAGAGGGCGCAGGCGTAGAGATACCACAGTTTATGTTCCGTTATTTACAGAATAATCAAAGAAGGGATCAATCGTACCCATATTCACCTACTGTTTGTTACAAATTGTTTGTACAGATTTGAATTAGGAGTGTATTGGCAGTTTCTGTCATAATAAGTAGCTTTGATTATAAAGTACATTGATTTTTTTGGACACTTAAGATCTGTACGTTTTAGTTCATGGACATGGATACCAGGCACAATAACCATGAACTCCTACATCATAATAAAAAAAGGTGTAGAACTTAAGTCGATGTGTTACTCTCAATGTAGATACCTAATAAGTTGGTTAAGTGATTAAATGATCACGTCTTATCGATCCATGTTTCATTCCTTTTTGAGGATTACCTGCTTCTCCTATTCGATATACCACGCTTGTAGTTGTGGAAGAAATTTTTATATTTTCCAGCGTAAAATTGTCATACAAAACATTTTCGTTATTTATTTTTAGTAATTAGAATTATTTAAGGGCATAATCATAATATATGGCATAATCACCCGATATGCAAATAGTTTTCACAGGCCTCGTGGCCATCTTTATTTAAATTGTATGCCATTATGTATATATTCTCGTTTTGGGTTTTCTCTTTTTTAAACAATGCAAGGATGCTCGTAATTGTTTGTCATTCCATCAAAACAATAATTTTTGCATTTTGTGTTGGTTTTTTATCAGTTTTTTAAAATTTGCAACTATGAAGCGTATTAAGTACCACAGAATGACTTTATGCATAGCGCCATTATGCAAATTCGGACTAAACAGTTTTCTACTATTCAAGAAATGAAACAAATTGTTTACAAACATACAAAATGCTGTCGTATTGTACTATTTAATTCCCCTCTGTTTATGTAGCGGTTTTTATAGCATGTGGCACTGTTCTACTAAACACCTGTAGCGCTAATTGCACACTCATTTTTGACTATGTTGACATGTGTCAACAGGTAAACCTTTCTTACAGTTTTTTTGCTTGATATCACGGCACCATTCAAATTAAATTCACTGTTGAAGGACTTATTACCTCAAATAATCCAAAAATATTGTTATTACACCTTAAAATAGAGACTCTTTGACGATATTCCTAAAAGTGTGTATTCTATTGAAGCCACAGGCACTCATCCGGAGTTAATACACTTTCCTATCACATTCATTAAAATTCTTGACCACCATTAGGGCCTCTTTCTCCTCCTACTCGTACAATTTTCAATATATTTAGTTCGTTCTTTTTGCATTTGGTATCTTATAGTTTTGGCACCTCAACCAAGAAAAATTTTGATGATTAATTTGCCCAGTGGCAACTTTCTTATTTACTTAGATATTTTTTTGAAATTTTAACCAAAGACGCTTCTAGTAAAGGCAAACATATCGCATATTGTAAAAACGTTCTTATTTACGGAGATATTGTTTTGAAATTTTAATGATAGATGTTTCTAGTAAAGAAAAACACATATAGCTATGGCATTTTGATCAATGCGTGGAAAATGCGTTCGGGCGAAACCTCTTTTTACATATGAAAGAGGCTAATTCTTTGGCTTATGTTGTGATTCAAAGTTCATATAAACATAGGTTCGCAAACGCTTTGTTATTGATTTACAGGGTGTTATAATTTCACGATTACATATGCAAACACAAGATATAATTTCAAATGTGAACTATCAAAAATAATAAAAACAAGAGATTAACCAAAGAAAACCAGGACCTACTGGGCCATTTTAAAAATTTTACTTTCACTTAGGTTACTACCGAAAATTGATTTGTATTTTTTTTCACATTAACGTTCGCAGATTCGAAAAAATGGCAAGAGATCAAGAAAGTTCTAAAGAAACCAGAAAATTGATTTCTTATTTTACTAGCGGCGCACCCAAAAAAAGTTCAGCGGTAGAAAATGGAACATGACCCCTGAAAAACATCACACAACGCCTTTCATCGTTCCAAATTTGAGGAAAGGTCTTAAAAACGGAGATATAAAGAAAAAATTTAAAAAATCGTGAAATTTTAACACCCTATAGATCGGTAACGACCTATGTTTATATGAAATTTTAGTCATAAAATAAGACAAAGAGTTTACCCCCTTCCGTATATACATCATCTTTAGGAACACCCTGTATATTCCTTTGATACTTGAAAAACATAGGCTGTCTAGTCTCCATTTTGTTTTGACACCCCTCTTCAGTCTTTTTTTCTGTAAATAATGAAAAATATACCCTAAAAATTGCGGTTGCAGTTCTACGCTTTCCTACCAGGGAGCCACCACTTTCAATTGTTTAAATAAAAATTGATTGCTTTGTTTTTAACCATTTCCAAAAATCAAATCTTTGAAGAATGATAAATTGTATTATTCTGCGCACGCGTAGAACTATTGAAACGTTAAAACTCGCTCATTAAATTTGGCGTATTTACGACATTTAAATAAAGGTTTTAAAGTCACTATTTTGTGATTAGTTATAAATTTATTCAGACACACGCATTGAAAATTAGCAAGAGATATGTAATCATATGAGCGGAAGTAATAAGTGTATGTTTATAATTTAAGTCTGCCTTGATCGAAGAGGAAAGTAATAGCAGCAGTACTACACGCGGATCCAGGGACAGGGCACGTCGAGATTTGACTAAGCAAATGAATGACACGAGCAGCGATAGTGAATTCGACGACCTTGATAGCAGCTATGGGCCGACAACTAGGCGCGCTTGGTCGGATTGGTGCTCTACGAAGGGGAAAAGCAGCCAATCTGAAGATGATGTTATCACTCAGAAGGTAAATGTGCGTCTTTAGCGTATTGCTCAAGAGTGTTTTAGGTGAGGCGTCAACCGAAAAAATTGCGACGCAAACTATCACGGGGAAAAGCTCCACCTCAGCAGAAATTAACTCTTCCACCTGTCAAGGCGAGACGCGGCAGAATGAAAAAAGGCAAACCAAAGAAGACTCTGAAGATAAACGGCTTAGACTTACTACACAGTCAAACACTTTTGAGTACGTCTCCTCAAGGTTGAAAACTTGATTTGTTTTAATCTTTGTAGCGGCCTAAAACAATTTTTGTTCTAGCAATTGGTAAGAAGCTACCACCGGCGCCCGGATGCGTGGATCAACAACTCACCGCCCTTAGTTCAGCCATGATTCACAATGAACTGGACATTCCTCAGGCTCCCGAAAGCACTCCCTACGCTCTTCAAATTTTGATGCACATGCTAAAAGATCAGTACATGACGATGATTAACCAACTGAGAAAGTCGAACTACAGAAATACGGTTGATTGTCAAATCAGACAGGAAAAGGTAAGTTATTGCGGTAGAAGTCAACCAGCAGTCTGTCTCTCCGTCTGTGTACTCGCATCGTTTCGAATTTTCCAATTTTATTTTTTATTTTTAGTCTGTCCATCTGTGTTTGTCGCTTGTTGTCTATATTGGCTTGAGATAGATTATTTTTATGCAATTTGTAATTATCCTTTTCTTTGAAAAAAATACCGATCTTATTAAGGATTTAGAAATAGATCACTGCAATGGTACTGTTGACTTTCCGTACCACCCTTGTTCGTGGGGAATACCAAATAAAAATGTGTATTTCGAAACCAAGCAAACCAGATCGAAGTTCGCGAACTTAATACGCGATATTGTTGTTATGCACTGGAACAAAACGCCAACATTCCGCTGTTTGATATTTAATTTTTTCTCAATTAATTAATCTGCCTTTAGCTATTTTAAGCGTTAAAGATTTTTGCCTCTGAAAGGTACCACCTTTCCAATAATTTGGTAAAGCTCAATAAAAACTGATTTGAAGACTCATCGTAATCGCGCGCGAGTCAAATAAACAACCTAAATATCTAATTCGTTGTGACGGAATTAGTTCACTTGTTGTTTGTTGACGAAAATCTAAATAAACCACAGATTGGAACCCCTGACTTCTTAAAACTGCTAGGATAGGCTTCATAATTTTGTTAAAACAGTGGGGGGGGGGGTTGTTTTAAGAAAGCCTTCCTGTAAAATAAAATTTCAAAACCCTAGGATTGGGATCAAATCACTTGAGGTCAGAAAACAACTCAAATTTAGCAACTTGAAATGACAAGTACACAAAAATCTTTAATACTTTGAGCGAAGCATCTGCCTTGGCCACCAAAAAAACATTAGAAACCTTGACCCGCTATAGGTGTAGTAACGCTAATCGCTCGTATCTGACCGGGATTGGTTAAGTGAACACGAACAACTACTTGTTCACACCCTGCGCTTTCTTTGGGCATAATGGGGGCTGCTAATCAGGGGCGGACTGGGTAACTGCGGGCCAGGTGGAATTGCATAGGTAACGGGCCATTAAAGTATTAGTGTAGTAATGAAGGGGGCGGGGGGTAGCTCTGAGGTGCACCACAAAAACACTTTCAAAATACTACGATAAAAAATGATAAATTCATTGTAAAACACTTCAATTAAAACAGAATTTTTTAACAACTTAACATCAACCCCAATTAGAGAAACGTGTTAATAATTTATTAATAGTGCAAGAAACTAAATACAGCACATACTTATAAATTTCCAACGGGCCATTATGACGTACAGGCCAGGTGGCAATCGCCCCCCGCCCCCCCGGGCCAGTGCGCCCCTGGTTATACACTGCCTTTTTTTGAGCCCCGAAAAAAAATTGTCTCAGATCGACCCGGAAAAAAAATTTTCTTATAGAATGTGGCCTGTAGAATCCATAATTTCAAAAAGTTCCAAGATTGGGCTACTAGTTCAAAAGTTACAGCCCTTTGAATTTTCTTTCGAAATTGGTTTCTAGTCTATAACTTTTGATTGAGAAGTATGATCGAAAAAGTACGAATTGATTTTGGATTCTACGCACCCAAATTAATAAGAAAAAGTGTTTTCCCGAGAAATTTTGGTGTAGTTGAATTTTTGGTAAAAAAGGAAGGTTATACACAGGGGCGGACTGGGTACTTAGTATTAGTGTAGTAATGAAGCTGGGGGGGGGGGGTAGCTCTGAGGTGCACCACAGAAACATTTTAAAGTACTCCTTTCTCGAAAATCAATTACCATACAGTTTTTTTAAATTGCAGCTGATAATTAAAAGTAACAAAATATACAATCCACACGAGGTGCGTCACCTATCATTGTATTTCAGCACTTTCAAAATACTACGACAAAAAATGATAAATTCATTGCAAAACACTTCAATTAAAACAAAATTTTTTAACAACCTAACATCAACCCCAATTAGAGAAACGTGTTAATAATTTATTAATAGTGCAAGAAACTAAATACAGCACATACTTATAAATTTCCAACGGGCCATTATGATCTACAGGCTAGGTGGCAATCGCCACCCGCCCCCCCGTGCCAGTCCGCCCCTGCTGCTAATTCTTTACTACTATCAGTCATGTGTTCGTTCCAGTTTTTGAAATCGCACCACAAATCTTTCCACATACGTGTAATAAAATCACTTGATAACTTTGCTAAAAATTCAATTTCAACGCACTTAAAAATGGTACACAATGGTTAGGGAAAAAAAACGTATAAATAAATCTTTAACAGTAGAAAAATTCGCATATAATTTTTAACGCACGTAAACAGTGTATGCTTAGGCTCGCGAACTCAAGCAAGAAGCTCTCTTTTTCCCATCTTCTTTACTACTTTAATCGCGTGGTAGAAATCCTGAAACAGGAACGGAACAATCACGACTACCTTACTCTTTTAAACGAATAGTAAACCTGCATTTTCGTCACGTGCTCGGCTTTTTACAGAACAGAATCGTGACAACCGCGCTAGCTTGCCGCAATACGTTTCTTGATATGAATCGTTATCGCCAGACATATTTTCGTTCAGGTTTGCTATGAAGCGGTACATTGCATGTGCATTTCCCTATGTTTACCAAAATATAAATTCGAAAAATGACTTTTTAAATACGAAGCAGCTCCAAAACCACTTACTTTGCACCTTAACTATCACGACAGGTGGTGATTTCAAACGATGTTGACTGATAATCCACTTAGAGTAGTTGTAACTTTGTCTCTTCCCGTTTGACCCATACATTTTTTGTTTTTTATTTATAGGAGAGGAACAAACGTCTTCAAAATCGCGCCGCTCAGTTAGAAAAGCAAATTAAAGTGTTGATAGACGATAGTGTAGCCCTGCTGAAAGCGCGGATGAGCGAGTTAGGCATAAATGCGACGTCGCCTGTTGATTTGTTAGCAAAAGCAAAAGAGATAGTATGCCGTCATAAAGAGTTGCAAGCAAAAGCGAGCAAATTACAAATTCAGGTCGCTAATTTGGAACAGGAGCAAAACAACTACGTTTTGGAACGTCAACAAGAAATTGTAGAAAAATACGTTAAGCACGATGTTCATCATCTCTCGCCGAATGCGACTCAGGAGTATATTCTCAAGGAAATATCGTCGACTCTCGCTCACCGCAAGAAATTACACAACCAAGTCTCGCGTCTAGAAACAGAGTTGCATAATTTAGAAAAGTGTAACGATGAACGTAAGCAGACTCAAACCGTCTTAACATCACGCCCGACACAACCAGCGGCGAAAGTGTCACGAAAAAGTCGCGAGTACAGAACGAGATCGCAGGATTGGCCCGATGTTCCCGACATTGGCAAAATTGAAGAGCAAAATCCCGAAATATTGGCGCAGAAAATCTTGGAGACCGGACGTAAAATTGAAGCAAGCAAATTGTCGACCACTAGCTCTAGTAAAGTCACGTCTCATTTGCCAAACGGTGTCAAAACCGCAAACCAAGTCAATCAGCGGGGAATTATTCGGAATACAATGCCGGCCCCTCTACCTGCTGCCAAAAGGGTTAAGTCGACGAACTTTGTGCCACAACGGTCGCAAGAAACACCGAGAATAGCTAATTTTGAAGATAGGCTGAAAAGTATCATTACGTCCGTTTTAAATGAGGACCAACAAAATCGTAACAAAGCTCAGAGCAACCATATGTACAACATGAACAGCAATAACAATCAGTATTCGGTCACTTCACCAGCAAACCCGCCATTCAATAATAATATCATCCAGTACAATCAATTCGCCTCAAAAATTGAAGAGAAATCGAAATATAAATTTTCACGATGCGAAACATTAGTACGGCCAATGGATGAATCGCGCGCAATTGAAAATCACATGAACATTTCCGACTGCTATCGGGAACCAGAGCCTCCTCGCGGATCGCCGCAGGTCGCAAGACAATTAACGGCGGAACAACCCGACTACACTCAGGTGTCCCCGGCAAAATTAGCACTGAGACGGCATTTATCTCAAGAGAAATTGGCGGCTCAACTCCCGACCTACAATCACAACGATGGTCTGGTTGCCACAAGAACTATTGGAGATCTGGTGTCGGGTGAAATCGAACGTACTTTGGAAATTTCGAATCAGTCAATTATCAACGCCGCAGTTGACATGAGCGACATACAGGGCACGACAACGTTAACTCCAAGGTCAATGGTTAATGCAAATATACCTCCTCGGCCAGAAAGAGTTAATGCAAAACCAAACACGGAATTAACATCACAAAGTAAGGAAACAGAACCACTAATTAGGCAGGTTTATAGCCCGATTTCGAGACCATCATCAACAGAAGGCCTTGAAGGGTTGGCCTACATGCATCCACATAGTAAAATTAATAACCCGCCACACAACTCATACGTTGCCGCCCCCACGGTGTCGCCGCGCCAACCTCAGTATTCCCCGAGAACAACCGTTTTGTACCCGGTGCAAAATAGGTCGGGTTCAAATTATCCACCGGGCGACTACACACCATTACCGAGAGCGGACATTAAACCATATCATGAGTCTTACTTCAGCGACGTTAAACCGCCCATACTGGACGCCGAATTGCCGCGAAACAAATTTGTACCTGAGGGATTAGCAGCTAGTTTACAGGCCGCCCGCGTTCTCAACGGGCAGCATATTAAAGAGGAAGTGGACGACCGAATGAACGTATACTGTCGCCGCAACTACCTACCTCTGAATATGCTCCCTAATATTCCAACATATGTCGACGAAGAAGGCCCCATTAAAACTGAGCATATAAATAACGACTGCCAGTACAAACGTGACGGGATGACGGGAACAGCGATACGAAATCCCATTAAGAGATCGACGTACATTTTGGAAGGTCACAAAACGTTCTTGAACGACGTCTCCTCGGAAACCCACTCGAATACATCAACTCCGTTGGTAGACGAAGCGCCCGAACCTACGCGCATCCGAAAACCGAACGAAGAAGGTAAGTTGCTGTTTGTCATTTTTACTTTTTTATAGGTCCAAAACTTGCTATAAATTAAAATTTTGGTTTTGCATGTCACTTAAAATTTCTTTACTAACTTTTCTTTCGGTAGATAAAATTTAATTGGTAATGGACATTGTGCTTTAATTTTAGTTTGTAATGTGCGGGGCAAGTCATATCAATTCCATAGTTGTGTTTCAGTAATGCTATCGTGTAGTTGTAGGTAGATAAACTTATTCGTTTAGAATGTAAGCAGCAGAGGGAGCTAAAAGTTATTCAAAAACTCCATTTTTAGCGCATTTCGAGGCTATACTGTCAACAGCTTTTCGCAGTCTAGTTTATAAAATGACGTCTAGTTCTATTTTGTTAGCAGAGTTTAAGCATAGTGGTATTTGATATTTAAGAAGAGACAGAGACTTCTTTGGTCACAATTTGTCATGTAATTCTCAGACCTACTGCCGCGTTTACACGAGGCCAGTAAGTTCAATAGCTGGATTCTAGTAGCTGACCTGTTGAGTCTAGTGAATAAACATTTACATGAAGCCAGTTCATTGGTACCAATGCCTCCAGTCGGTCCGGAACCATGGATGCGTGCGCATTGAGGACGAAGATTTTACCAATTATGGGCATATCCTCTCTGTTGAATTAGTTGTTCAGGCACTCTTTCCCAGTATACTATTCGAAGAATTTCATACTTATCCGTACCCCACTTTTGAGGTTCCATTCACAGCAGTACACGAAACTAATGTTAAACCCAAGTGGCGCCAGTCCTCCTTTGAGTGGTGGGGGCGCCTACTACTGGTCCACTGGCTACTCTTGAAGCCAATTTCAACTGTACGGGATTGTAACTGGCTTTCACTGGTGTTTACACGGAGCCACTTAATGGGGTCAAGCTATTGACCTCATGTAAATGCGGCATAAGATCGCAATAAAAATTATTTTCTCTTCGCTACCATTTAAATAAATAAGAGAGATGGCATACTAAATGTTATAGACTCATTTTTATTACAAGGCGCGTTTTAAATGTAAGGTTGTAGCTGGAGGGGCTCACATTTGTTGAGCAAAGGGTAAGAGTCTAAGACGAACAATTGTGTAGCACACAACCAACTGGAGCATATAGGACTGACACAAGACAAACCTAATAGCGTTTTCGATTGGCAAAACTCGTGCTGCACGAGTGCAATTTTTACGTTCTATTGGTAATTTTAGGGCAATTTTCTGTGTTCCATTGCCAAATGTGATGCAACAATTACGCACTCACTGCAAATTTCGACGCACGAGGTCCGAGAGCTCATGGAGCTGCTAGTTAACAAATTTTCAAAACAAACGTGCGACAATTTGAATTTGTTTCTTGCGTTGGGAGAGTTTTTTGTCGTAATCTAGCGATAGCGAAGATGATGAACTAGCCATACCTTCTATTTTACAAAAAGTTGCACTTACTCATTAAACTGAACGCCAAAAATTGGTCCTTTACAGGAATTTCAAATTTATATTCCTCATCGTTTATCATAAATAATACTGAAATCGTTTGTCATTTTTTAGAATAGAGATTTGTCGATTACCTAAATCTAAAATGAGGTTATGGACAAATGACAACAAATATTTACGAATATTTATGTTCCACTGAGAGCAATTTTCACATGGATTTCTTCAGTTTCTCGTGCAGTACGAGTTTTGCCAATCGAAAACGCTATAAAGATGCTGACAGTATAAGCCAGTGGTTCCCAACCTTTTAGATACTGCGACCCTTTTTTTGTTCAGTATTTTTCTGACCCCTCTATGAATTATAATTTTTTAAAATACATAATAACATCTACAATAGTGTTGTAATTTTAATTATTAAGCGGCAGAGCAAGGCGATGCAAGCTTTACAGGGGGTCAGTGGAGCCATCTGTTTGTGAACACCATAACTGGCAAACGCTTGGACCGATTCGGTTCAAACTTTGGACAGTTGGCCTATATACCACATGTAGCAAGCCTATTCCAAGGTGCTCTTGCGCTTTTTAAGATCCGCTTTAGGGGTTTATTGGATAAGACAAGTAATAAATCCAGTAAATTTTACAGTCAGTTGTTTTATAAAAATACTCCCGATTTATTTGTGCCCTTTCATCTTCTGGAGCATACTTAGGCCTTGTACTGGGGCCCTTTGTACTACATCCCAGGCTAGAGTGGGGTCCTCCCCTCAATGTCACTCAAGCTATCCCACATGTGAGCTAAACCTAAGGATGCTGGAAGGGAATGTAGCTCTAATCGTAGGCATGTCCAGCCAGGATGGCCCCAACATGGAACATGGATCGTCTCAGTTGGACTAACGCGTCCCATTCACAAAATATGTGGTGTGTCGTCTCAACGTCTATGTAACATCTTCTACAAGATGTGCTTCTACCTTAGCCTAAGGGGAAGACCCGGCTCTGGACTATAAAACACCTGTTTTGAGGCCAGTCGGACTGATTTGTTGGTTTTCTCATTACCTTTCATTCCATACAGGCTTAAGGGTGTTGCTACTTGCTCTAGTGCATGGTGACATTCGGATTCGGAAACCAGCCTAGAGGTAATTTTACAGTGGTCAAGCGCCTGCAGTGGAACCCTGTTGTCACTGGAGATTCTAATAAATTTGTTCTTTATGTTATGCATAAGAACTTTTCTGATACTGAGCGTTACTCCTACAAATTCAGATTGGAATACAGTAGGAAGTTTGCCTAGTGGTTGGGATGTCACTTCTCTTAATGTGCATTGATGGGTGAGTGAGTCCGATCGCCCTTCTAGGATAGCGCCCAGAACTTGAGAGTGACCCACCTTAGTACCTCTGCTGGTGATGGGTGTAGGGGTAGTTCGCATTGCGAGTCTTTGCACATGTGGCAAGGTTGTGGAGAGTCTTGATCTAGACCATTGCTCCGTAACATAACATGGCAGTGACAGCCTTCAGGTATGGTCCCCAAAGTCTGCCAATTGCGCGGCAGCATTGCCAGAAAGCCCTTTTTCGGCTTTGAGCTGGATACCTTTGCTCCAATTCAGTTTTTTGTCAAGTGTGATGCCTAAATATTTAACTGACTGAAAATTGGAGGTGATTTTGGTATGGCAGGGGAACTCAAAAGACCCTCTACCTTTCTTTTTCTTATGAAGAGCTCCATTTTTATCGGGTTGATGGACAAGGAGTGTCCCCTACACCATTCTTTGGTTACTATATGAGTTGATTGCACCAGACTGTGTAGAGCAGCCTCGAATGTGCCGTTTATTAGTATGGATTCATTGCCTGCATACCCCAGCATAGGAGGAGGCTGTTTATAGTTAAGTTCCTGACTGTTTATAGTCCAGCGAATCCAACCTTTGACGCGGAGTTTAGATATGTATTTGAAAGTGATACAGCATGTATACAGTGTGTCCCAGATCGCGTGGGATTGCATGGGTAACTTTGTTAGTATTAAAGATAGAGAATTGGTTAAATGGGCAATGTTTTGCAGTTTTGGATGCTTATTTAAAATTTCCTTATGGAAATTCAAAATGTCGCATAGGTTCGACGTAAATTCAAAAAAAACTAAAATTGGTCATTTCCTTGAATGTCTTATATCATCGAAAGTATAAGAGATATAAAAAAAGTTTTATATAAAAGTGACTGTCTTTGATACGCTTAATTTAGAATTGATGTCAAAAAAAAATTCAAGATGGCTACTTTTGAGGAACATTTACCAACTTCCTAAAGTTAAATAGGCGCTATATGGGATTTTTAGATTACTTGATAGATTTTTTAATTCTCTTTTCAACGAGCCATCATAACATAAGATTGAAAATAAGATACCAATTATATTAACGGTTTTTATATTTTAATCAAGTAGGCTGTGATGATTTAAAAAAAAACCAAAACAAAATCTATTCGAGCCAACAAAACAATGAAAATAATTACATCAGATGTTTAAAAAATCAGGGGCGCACTCATGAGAGGGGGGTTTGGGCATTACAACTCCCTCTAAAATTTTATATAAGTAGACCTAGAAAAATTTTGATTTTTATAACATCACTTATTGACTATCTTATTATCCATACTTACATATCTACAAATGGTGGTATAACTACAAACTATCCGTTCGAAAAAATGTCATGCCATTATCCAGTTAAGCACATTTCAAGACACTTTGCTTTATTTTACACAATGTATTACCATTGATGCATTGTTCCAGGTCACATTTTGTAGGTCAGTAGGTGGTTTATCCGCAAGAATATCGAAACTAACAATTTTACCAGTCCGAGTATATGGACAGATGAATCTTATTTTTCTAACTACGGAGTGTTCAAATCGACATAATGAACACTATACTCGTCACAGGAAAACCTACATGTTGTAGTTTCACACCGAAATCAAGTAATATTTTTTTAAATTAATGTATTTTATGGCATAATGGGAAGTCATGTAATTGGACCGGTAATCTTCGTTGGATCTTTAACTGCTCACCATGATTTACAAATTCTCCAATAAACTTCCTTAAAGGATTTTTCTCAACAACGTACGTTTCGAAGAAAGGGTTGGTTTATGCTACCTACCAACAAGCTGGCTGCTCAGGTCACAATTCACGAATTATGTACAGTACATTAAATTATAAAAGTAAGTACTTAATTAAAAAATAAAAGTAAAGTGGAAGTAGCTACCACTACAATAATAATAATAATCATCAATGGCAACACGTTGCCTAAACTAAACTGTCTTGAAGTGTGTTTCACTAATAATGGCCAGTATTTTAAACATCTGGTGCAATGATTTTCATTGTTTTGTTGCCTCGAATAGATTTTGTTTTGTTTTTTTTTATTCGTCACAGACTACTTGATTAAAATACAAAAACCGTTAATATAATTGGTATCTTATTTTCAATCCTATGTTATGATGACTCGTTGAAAAGAGAATTAAAAAATCTATCAAGTAATCTAGAAATCCAATATGGCGCCCATTTAACTTTAGGAAGTTGGTAAATGTTCCTCAAAAGTGGCCATCTTACATTTTTTTTGACATCAATTCTAAATTAAGCGTATCAAAGACAGTCACTTTTATATAACACTTTTTTTTATCTCTTATACTTTCGATGATATAAGACATTCAAGGAAATGACCAATTTTAGTTTTTTTGAATTTACGTCGAACCTATGCGACATTTTGGATTTTCATAAGGAAATTTTAAATAAGCATCCAAAACTGCAAAACATTGCCCATTTAACCAATTCTCTATCTTTAATAATAACAAAGTTACCCATGCAATCCCACGCGATCTCGGACACACTGTATATTCTTACTAAATAGATGACAATAACATCAGTCCCCATTGCAGGAGGGCTGGTATTATGCTGTGAACGATTTCACCGCCATTCATTCTCTGTGGGAGTGAAGCGGGTTACCACTGGCCAGTTGGGATATGGCGCCGTGGTGGTTCCAGGAAAGTGAACGTTTCTCAATACCTCTGCTGTATCTGAGAGATTGTCGGTGTAGGGACCATGCTCTCGTCTGAAGCCAGCTGGGTTATTATATGAACTTTATGTTAGAATTTTATTTAGGCGGAATGCAGGAGACATGGATTCTATAGAGCTTCAAAATCGTTTTCATGCCTCCCTCTGACGCCCCTTCTAATCTCCTACTTATATAGTCTTAGGTTTGTCATGTAAGTTAGCAGAACTCGAGAGGGTGCTCTCTAAAGTATTTGTCCAAGATGTGTGTAAAGGAGAATATCCGTTACCTTAGGGTTGCCATAACTCCCTTGTAGTTAATTTCAAATGAAATTATTCTATGATCTAACATGGTCACTTCTGGAGTAACTTACCAGTTTGTTATACTGGGTGATCCAAAATAACTGAGGACAGTTTGAATTTCCCGCAACACTAAATGTGTATAATGTTGGTACCATATCAAATGTCATTTTTTTAAATGTAATGGTGGATCAATTAGATAATTAAAGAAAATTAATTTATCAAGCGCAGTTTCACTCTCCAGGTCATGATTTCAAATATTCATTGTAACGATGCCTGTGGAATAATCATGCTAATTAAACTAGTACTAACATGGTAGGTAGCCTGTCTTTCATTGAATTGAAGTAAGCACAATCGAGTGTAATATGACATCTTCTAAACATGTATGAAAGCATCAAAAGTCATCCTCTTTAAACCCTTCAAGCTTAAAAGGTAAGGTTACATGTTTAACTGTTTGCTTTAAAATGCATGGATCGCGATACAACAAAACTAAAATTCGCATAAAAAACCCTGCCAATGGATGGCGATTACTGCATAAATAAACTACCTTCTAAACATGCTTGCCAATGCCAAATTTTAACTGTCCTCCATTATTCTGGATCACACAGTCAAGTTAGAGATACTCGATGTCAGCCTGAGATCAAACACTTGTCAGATATTTAAGTAATGATTCAGCTCTGTGCAATCGTGATATCACAGCCACACAGGTATGGTGAAAACTATCCCGTGAGGTTGATCTTACAAACTTTCCCTTGATCTTCCAGGCGTCGCCTGACCACCGCTAGGTCGACAGCCCACGTCCACTACTGCATACTCCCTCAAGGAGTATCAAAATACTAGATCTAGCTTTCTTTGATTCTATAAAAATTAGACGGTCTTTACATTCCTTTAACATACCACGCAATGGTAGAAAAAGCGGCCTTCGTGATTAGAGTAGAGTAGTTAGTTGTAGTGGGTAGTGTTTAGATGGACTTGTGCAGCGGAATTAAAAATCAATGCATGAGCGAATTGGGAACTGTAGCAGGTGTAAGTAATGGAATGAAGGGATTGCATTATTGAAACACAACGACTTTTCATCCCTGTACATTTCTTTTTTAATACGGCACATAAGGTAATAACTTGTTCTATTAATCGTAAAGCTTTTTATTTTTAATATGAATTCTTTATTACTTCTAATGACAAATTCAATTCTGTACTGTTGTCTGCAATTATAGCTATAAGGTGTGAAAAATCTATGCAAGTTTGATAGGATAATTTAACTCAAACCATTCTTTGAGGCTTATGTTCAAAGTGAGTAATTCTAACTTGCAAAGATTACCCTACAACTCAACTATTTTTGTTGATGTGGAAATGAAAAGCTTTTCTATTAAATTAATTTTAACTAAACGATGTGCCATTTTATTGTTGGTTATTATGATTTGCTCACCGTTTTGGTTAAAAACTCGTCTTTGAAATTACTTAGTAAGGAAAATTACTCAATTAGATGATAATTAGAATTTTTATTTACTGTAGTTTACAATGACTTAGGAGGCAGCACAGTACAGGCATGCACACTTTTACGTGCACAAAATCACGCATGCAATTTACTACCTCTACCATAGTAGTTTTAGATGGCTGAGTAATTTAGGGTAAGTAGCTTCTTGCTATTATTTTTAATTTTTGCTCAGCTGTATTTTAATAATAATAATTTTTATGGTGGTGGTACCTAAAAACCCTATCTATGATAATGACCAATTTTAATATGTGCACCAAAATTATCTATAGCAAGTGTTGTCTTTGGTTTATTTTAGGTTACCACTTTTTTTTGAGCAAATTTAATCTCGGGGGCAAAAAATGATCATAAAAAGTGATCCCGCACGCTATTAATGATTAAAGCATTTCATTTGTAGGAACGGGTATAACAGAGAAAAGGTTGTCGCTAGAAAAAATTGATGTTTTTCCTATCTCCCGATCGCCATACAATTTTGGTTAAAGTCTCAAAAGTTTTATTTGCCACAAAAAGGGCCTACTTCTCTCAGCAGAAAGAAAGAAATTACTATACCGTTAAAAATGAAAAACGACAACCTAGTAACAGTGCTTATAATAATAATAATAATTGGCTATAGTGATACTTATTTTCATAGGGGTAAACACTTGTATTATGGTATTCATTTGAGAGACCTTGGTTTTTAGCGCATTTCAAAATAAAATAAAAAATGCGCTATTGTGGCGCCACTTTGTCCGTCCGCTCGTTTTGAGACGCTACTAGTTTTTTATCTTAAGAGCTATTGTTCTACTTTTTTCGCTATTTGGTTCGTTATGGTGTCGAGTCTTGCACCAAGGAAGGAATTTTTTCTGTATCGCTTACAAAAAAAGTTATTGTAAAAAAAACACATCTTTGAATATATTCCTCTTTGTTTTTCTGTGTTTTGGTTTGTATATATTGCTTCCATGCTGTTTTTTTTATGTTTTGTCAGCCTTTGTATGTCGCTATTTCAGCAACTCGTCCTGTTATGTAAGTCTATCAGGCTTTTAGCGTTTCGTTCCTCGGCTGTAAACGTGTATTTGTCTTCCATTGGTTGTTCCCACATTCTGTTTCCTATTATTAGGTCGTTTCCTTTGCAGAAGTCAATCATTTTTATTCCATTTTTATTTAGGGTATCCTCCCCATTCCCATTCCCCTGTTGTAGTCCTTTCCTACTCTGCTGTTCCAGTCTCCCATTATTTTCTTCTTTCAATTCATCTAGTATGTGTTGTATAGATCCTATTTCGATTCCCTCCGTTTCTCAATAATTGTTTAGCCCTCGCGATTTTTCTGAAGTTTATGTTTGCACTCTATTCCGGACTCACCTGGCCTACTATTTAAAAACCGTAAAAAATAAGGTTTTAATTTTTGCTTCATGGCCGTGCCCGATATGGTTATCTTTCCTAGAACCATCGGTTATTACAATTTCAAAAAAATATCTTTATAAATAAAAAATTTGACAGTTGCGCGCACATCAGCTGTTTACAATATGCGATATGCTTATCTTTACTAGAGACATCTATGGTTAAAATTTCAAAAAAAAGCGTGTAAATAGGCAAGTTGACATTGCACATGCGCAGATTAATCGTCAAGATTTTCCGTGGCTTAGGTGCCAGAGCTAGCCGCCACCGAATGTAAAAAGAACTGTTGGACATTAAACTATTATTGTTATTATTATTTAAAAATGGCTGAGATACACCCCTGTCTCAATTAAAATAGGACATACGGTACAGTAATCCTACCCCACATTCCCACAATTGAAATACTTAAATTATAATAGCGTGGATTTACATTTTGCCCTGGGACTAATTACATATTTTTGAAAAAGGTGACAATTTTATAATTAAGCGACTTTTAGATGCGGAAGCTGAAGAAGAGGGCGAGGAATCAAAATGGCAGGATAGAATTAGCTCAGGATTTGATAGACTTGTGGCTTTTGCTTCGACAGAATTAGATAAGAGAAGGCGCTCCACCGAAGGTGATAGCTGTAACACTTCGCCCGATTCCGGTATCGGTCACGGAGACCCGCCTCCCCCTTCATTGAACATACCGCCGATTAAGCAAGCTTTGAAACTGAATTGTATGCCCAAACCTTCCCTATTGAAAAAACCGAATATCGAAAATTCGCCGTCAACTGAACAAAACGACGAGTCAGGACCACCACGAACGCCATCTCCTTCGTCTCCCAACCTGTCGGTGCGATTCAGCCCTAATCCGCCAATGATAATTGAGAAAAGTCCGACGCGTTTAAATCCCGCTCTACTTAAATACCAACGGCACACTGAGGACAAAAAGCAAAAACCGGATCAGCACTACAAAAAGAAGTTTTTCTATCGAGAACAATGGCGAGACGATTCGTGGCAGAAAAGGAACGATAGCTTCGTCGGTTCGATGCGTGACAAATTTAAACCTAAGGGAAAGGACTGGGATTGGAATAAAGACCACACTAGCATTGATTATGCGCATGCCGATCACCAGAATAGTGAGTGGAATCACAGCCAACAAGAGCAATACGACGGATGGGCAAATTGACAAATGTACATCCTCTGCTCGAGTTTTTTAAATACCGACTACAATAAATGATTTTCAATTTATATATCGATTTCACAAAGCAAAATATGGATTGAGCGTCCCCTTTTCGTTGTTACAAGTTGAAAACGGAATCTCTTAGCATTTACGATCGAGCGGCACTCATAATTTGTCTAGTAAAAATACCGGAGATCGTAAATGCATAGTAGACTGTATATTGTGTTCAAAAAAGCGTTTACTAAAACCGTTTCGTTTTCAGTAAATGCTTGATATTTATTTTAAATTATCGATTTAGAATAGCGACTTAAAGTCGATAACACTGCCTCCTTGCTTTAATCCAACTCGTACTATTTACGGTGTTTTTGATTTGAATTTCTACAAAACTGACGAACGATCAATAATAATTTATTTTGTGTATTATTGTATATTTATCACACTGTATATATCTTCAGTTAAACTGTATGAAATGTATAGATTAGGTTTTAAGACATAGGTAGATATGTTCTTTGTATATTACACAGAAAACTGCAAGTTACATACAATGTAATTAATTGAATTGAAAAAGTTTCGAATTTTTAATCGATACGCGCGCGCTTTCAGATGGGTGAAGTTGTTTTTATTGTAAATTGGAATTTTGAAAATAACTTAACTAAACTCTAGGTATGGTACAAACACTGCCACTATCACTTGCTAGATTTTACCTCGATATTACAGAACCTTGATGTAGCAAGAAGCTTATGTTATTTTTATTCCAGTGTATACGAGAACTTTTTACTCTTTTTCAGTTTCAGATACCCATAACAGTCTTCCCTAGGTTTTATATAATTTTACCGATTAGTAAAAACCATCCCGATAACTTGTCCTCTTAAAAGTTCTTGTATATCACTTTTTATGTATAGTACAAATTTTTAATTTTATTAGAATATTTCATTTTGAGAAATGGCGACCGCGTTCATTTCGCTTCATTCTTAATTGCGGCATTTGGTCTGGTACCAAACGGATTTCGATTTCTTGATAAGTCAGGGATTTGCAATACCAGAAAAAGAAAAAAAATAGTGAGCGATTTACTGTACAATTATTGTTAGGAAATTACAACTGCCAGACGCGAGAGGACGGCCAACTGGTAGACTCGAAAATTAGATTCTTTTTCTGTTGAAGAGATTGTTTTCTTTCATCCAGGTATGTTATGTATACCAAATTTTTAGATTGCACTGTTATATTTGGTGATATTATTGTATTTATTAGTTAACTCTTAGTTTATGTTTTGAAAAATAAGGTTTATGTTCGTTAAAGTAATTACTTCTCGTTTTACTCTTTGATTGTACAAAGTTTGTTTTGTTTTATATAATTTTTACTCATTGTAGTATGTTTTTAGTGGTTACTTTAATGTTAACTACTTCTATTTATTGAGTCTGCATGGTTTATCGTTTTTATTGTTTTAGATTTCCATTCAACATTGAATGTAATTGCTTTTCAAAGCATAAAACGAGAGGGGTTAGTGTTGTTCGCAGTTTCATGAAATAGAAGACTTCGTGAAAATGTGAAACGATACTAGCCCAGGTTTCTTTTAAACAATTTTTGATGGGTCTACCTTTTCGATTATACAGTCTATTCAGTACTATGAATGTGAATAGTTGTAGTTTTAGACAATTAGGTATATGTTTAATATAAAAATAAGTTGGTATTTAAACATGTCACCTAACTGCCAATTATTTAATAAACACTTAATGTAAATTTGTCGTTCACTAATTACTTAGATCTACTTCGATTTGGAATGCAAAGCAAAATGGGCAATACTTTTGTTGTCTTCTAATTGGAAAGACAAATGTACCAACAAAAGTGGATGCATATCTGATTCCTGAGGAATGTCTCTTGCAATGTGTGAAACTGGCTTGGCATATAGATAGGTAAGTGTGATTTTTATATGTATAAGCGTTTATCAATACAATGGTAGTATAACGGTCAAGGCAATTGTAGTTGTGTGTATGTAGTTGTTAAAAGTTTCCTGTGAAAGGGAGTAAACTCTCGTGATATATGAGAATAATTAAATTAAAGCCCTTTGTTTTAAAGCTTAAAAATTGTTTGCCAAACTGCAATAACTTGATACCACACAGATACCACCTGCGCATGCGCGATTCTGTCCAAAAGCTATTCAACTTTTCCTTTTATGTCGTAAAAATGTGTATCAAATTTGGTTCCAATATGGAAATGAGAGTACAGACCGACAATGAAATTTTCTACAGGCCACATTCTACAAGAAAATTTTTTTTCCGGGTCGATCTGAGACAATTTTATTTGAGGGCCTCAAAAAACGGCAGTGTACAACTTTCCTTTTTTACCAAAAATCGACTGCACCAAAATTTCTCGGGAAAACACTTTTTCTTATTAATTTTGGTGCGCAGAATCCAAAACAATTCGTACTTTTTCGATCAGACTTCTCAATCAAAAGTTATAGACTAGAAACCAATTTCGAAAGAAAATTCAAAGGGCTGTACCTTTTGAACTAGTAGCCCAATCTTGGAACTGTTTGAAATTATGGATTCTACAGGCCACATTCTATAAGAAAAATTTTTTTCCGGGTCGATCTGAGAGAATTTTTTTTGAGGGCATCAAAAAAAGGCAGTGTACAACCTTCCTTTTTTACCAAAAATCGACTGCACCAAAATTTCTCGGGAAAACACTTTTTCTTATTAATTTTGGTGCGTACAATCCAAAACAATTCGTACTTTTTCGATCAGACTTCTCAAAAAAAAGTTATAGACTTTCTCAGGTGTTATTTCTAGACTTCGAAAATCTTGTCTACTTGTCCAGGATTTCCTACGACCCCATTCCTCCTGACAGCTGCCTACTTTTGCCCAGGAATTCTGCACCTCCAAGCGCCGTTTAACTGTCGTCAGGTTCTCACTCGGATGACAACTTTGAAGAATCTATAAAAGCTGCCTTTTCCTGTTCCACCTTTAGGCAAAGAGTATAAGTATTCGTTGCTTTAGGTGTGTAGTTTCCAAAAATTGTAGGAGGTTTCCAACCACCTCCTTCAACTCCTAAGGGTCTGGTTGTTCTCGCACGAGGTGATTCGGAGTTTGGTCATTGGACTACAATTGCTCTACAGATTTTGCAAGACTCCGTCCATCTTGAAATGCCATTTAAGAAAAACTAAGTCCAACGCGGCTATTAATGGCATAAATTCAAATGTTATTCCTTAAGTAGTTACGTACATGGCGGCATCTCAACGAAACTACTATAACTATACAATGAGAGAAAGTGTAGCGATTACCAAGGAGATGGCGCACTTGCAGCCATTATATTTCAACTAATTTTTTAAAAATCTGGGCATTGAAGTACAATTGCTGTACAGATCTTTGACTTCTCAATCAAAAGTTATAGACTAGAAACCAATTTCGAAAGAAAATTCAAAGGGCTGTAACTTTTGAACTAGTAGCCCAATCTTGAAACTGTTTGAAAATATGGATTCTACAGGCCACATTCTATAAGAAAAATTTTTTTCCAGGTCGATCTGAGACAATTTTTTTTGAGGGCCTCAAAAAAAGGCAGTGTAGGTACAACCTTCCTTTTTTACCAAAAATCGACTGCACCAAAGTTTCTCGAGAAAACACTTTTTCTTATTAATTTGGGTGCGTAGAATCAAAATCAATTTGTACTTTTTCGATCAGATCTCTCAATCAAAAGTTATAGACTAGAATTGCAAAATAATAATGTTTTCTGTTCATTGAGCATGATGTGTTGCCTACAAACCAGGCTAAACAAATATCGAGTGCCCATATTCAAATTAGGGATTTGCTTGAATCTCCCCAATCTGCCGTTTTTATTGAGGGTAAGGAGGGCCTCCACGAACGAATGGCCCAGGGCCCCGAAAAACTTAAAAACGGCACTGCATTTAAGGAATAATAAGTGCAACGTTGCTATTAATCGCATAAATTCAAATAAAATTTTAAAAGAAGGTGCGTACGTGGCGACATCTCAACTAGACTTCTAAAACTATAATTGATAGAAAGTGTATCGATTGCCATGGAGATGGCGCACTAGTACTTATTGTATTTAATCTATCTATTCAAAAACCGGGCCTTTAAACTACAATTGCTCTACAGATCTTGCAAGACTCCGTACATTTTGAACTGCCATTTATTCAGACTTCTCAATCAAGTTATAGACTAGAAACAAATTCAAAGGGCTGTAACTTTTGAACTAGTAGCCCAATCTTGGAACTGTTTGAAATTATGGATTCTACAGGCCACATTCTATAAGACATTTTTTTTCCGGGTCGATCTGAGACAATTTTTTCTTCGGGGCTCAAAAAAAGGCAGTGTTTTACCTTCCTTTTTTACCAAAATTCGACTACACCAAAAATTCTCGGAAAAACACATTTTCTTATTAATTTGGGTGCGTAGAATCCAAATCAATTTGTAGTTTTTCGATCAGACTTCTCAACCAAAAGTTATAGACTAGAAAAAAATTCAAAGGGCTGTAACTTTTGAACTAGTAGCCCAATCTTGGAACTGTTTGAAATTATGGATTCTACAGGCCACATTCTATAAAAAAAATTTTTTCCGGGTCGATCTGAGACAATTTTTTTTTCGGAGCTCAAAAAAAGGCAGTGTATAACCTTCCTTTTTTACAAAAAATCGACTGCACCAAAATTTCTCGGGAAAACACTTTTTCTTATTAATTTTGGTGCGTAGAATCCAAAACAATTCGTACTTTTTCGATCAGACTTCTCAAAAAAAAGTTATAGGTTAGAAAAAAATTTAAAAAAAAAAGTCAGGAGTAGGTATTGCAGAACGGCTACCTATTTCCGACGCTGTTTAACATCTTTAAATTAATGATGTACAGGCGGGTCTACTATTTGTAGCAATAAAGATTTTACCGTGGGTATAATGTCATAATATTTTGTTGCATTAGTATATGTATTTTTTTAAATTTTTAATCTCTTGACTTGGCAACAAATATGTAGTTCCGCTCGACTATAGTCTTGATTCATAGTGAAGAAAACTAATTACAACATCTAGGTATTACCTATGTTGTTTTGGTCACGAACTGTAATTAGAATTTGAATTAACACAAGCAATAAATAAAGTGTAGGTATAAATATCATGGTTTTTACATAATTATTCACTGAAACAAGTTCAACTTGAGGATAGTTCTATTTAAAAAAAGCTACGTTAAGATAAATTAATGTTCCTTATTAGTTACATATAATTATACTGTTTCATGTACAAGTATCACAAATAGTTGTAGGATTGGTGAATTTGCCAGCAAAGAGTATACTTCGGGTGGGCTTATCTATTATGAAGTATGCAAAATCCCTATTAGCTTGGAATTTTGGAGAAGGGATTTTATTTTGAAGTGCGGCACCTGGAAAATTAAAAGTTCATTAATTTATCAAACGAAGCAGAAGATACAGAAACGGTAGAAGCTAATTACAAAAATGCACTTACCCGCAGCGGCTGACGCCTCCGCACCCTCCTCATTCACCTCGATTTTCGCTTCATGAATTACACGAGAGACAAACAGATAATGTGGGAATATTCCTAATAAATCTGCCTTTTGTGGATTGAGCACGTCCCTTATCCCCATCTAAAAATAAATAAAGCGTGTAGAGTAGAGAGCTGGTGCATTCAAGTTATGAGAAAACATTTCCCATATGCTTCAGAAAAACGGTGTCATAGCCTCTCTGTGTTCTAAATTTGAATTTTATATGCCAAAAGTTTGTGGTTCTCATTCGCACGACCAGAGGGACGGATGGATGCACGTTTAGATTTTTTTACGCTTGCTGGTTAATTTTTGTACATATGTCGCAATAAACATAATACATAAAGGAGGTTCAGTTTAAGCACTTTTAAGGGGGCTAAAGACGCGTGTCGGAAGCTATATTTTCGCGCTCTCGAGGTAAACTTTTAAATCGTTTTTCCAAAACAACGTATCTATAAATAAAGTTGGAACAATTTCCAAAATTGGAATAAGTTCGTAAAGTTAATATCTAGGCAATAACGCCAGGAAAATTTGTTTCCTTTTTTAAGGCATTCACCTTTCACAGGAATATTTGATCCCTTCTGCATCTTCACTCAGAATTCAGATATCGTGAACGAAATCAAGCGTTGTCGGGGAACGAAACGGGTGTACTGTCCAGCCTTAAGCCGCATCTTTATAAGTAAATCTTTGGGCAAATTGCCATAGGCCCTTAGCGCCAACTAGAAACATCCGCTTGAGATGACTTGCGTCTTACACATAAATATCCAATTTTCTCCAGAAACTACGTGTCTGCACAGAATGAAATGGTGTAGGAAAAAGAGTAACCGCAAGAATGAGATAATGGACAATTGTTATTATGCAAATTGAGCTTTATATAAATGTACTTATGTAATACTTAATATTCATTATAGATCATTTTTAATGAATTTATATTCAAAATATTGTAATTGTTGTGGTTAAAGAAAAAACACGACCTGCAGACCGCATATCCTAATACAGCGAATTATCTTCCACACACGAATAAAGGTGTTAAACTCAAGTAAATGTTTCTATCTGTTGTTGTTCACAAATCGTATCCTGGACCCACAGAGCAGGTACATCATCCCTAATGTAGGATAAGGTAATACGCCTGGGACATGCAACGTTAATTGTTCAGTCATTGACCGAATTAATGATCCACGGGCACCTCAACTTTTCTAGCAAGAGGTGCATAAACCAAATGTGAAATTGATAACTCCACAAAAAAGATGACCGAAACCACTCCAGAGATTTCCTACAGTTGGTGTAGCCGAGTCAGCCTACAAACTTTTACCAAAATGGAAAGCACGTACACGAGGTCCACACCACAGCATGTAATGACATGTTCGTATTGGGAGTGATACTGAGAAGAAAAGGTATTTGGATCAAAAAATGCTCTAAATAGACTCCCATTCACGCTCTACAAGAAATGTTCACGGTAGATCTTATTTGAGAGGATTGAAAAAGTCTTCAACAAAAGCAATTTAGAATTATCTAACCCTCAGCTAAGTGCGAATTATATCAGAAAGGAAGCCACTTACATGATCCAGTATTTGGTTGAGATTCAATTCCGACTTCATGTTAAATCGCGGTAAGAATACGTGGACCAGGTCTCCCGCAAATTGTTGTTCGGCCACTTCTAACGCATCGAAGACATATGAAAATGGCATATTTGATAAGCGACGCAGTACGGAATTGAGCATCTCTCCTTTTTGAGGTAGAATTACCACGAGAGACATTTTGCCGTTCTAAAACCCGATGTGAACAAATTGTCGTATTTAATCAAATTAAGCATTACATCTCCAAACGGCAACTCGATTGCGTGCGATCTTAATGCGCTGAGGATGGTGTAAGGAAAGTCGCCAAGTTGGTACATCATCTGTACTGAACCCTTAACTTTATTGCCAGTACTGTCGTAGAATGTATCTCGAAACGTTGCAGTTTTGTTAAAGGGTGTCCTCCAGCGCCCTTTGAAGAACAAGGTACTGACCAGCAGTATTTCGGCATCGGCAACGTCCTCTAAAAACAGTTCACTTAATATATTGAAAGGGAATGTCCTTCCTCCCACTACCAATTTTAACAAAATTGTTTATTCTATTATTCGTTGCTTGGGACACATAATTGTTTATTGTGGTTACCCCTTCCGTCAATTTTTTAAAATTCGTAGGGATTATATCGACGCCGTAAAAATTGTTTGCTAACGTTTGAAAGGGACGATTAATATTCTGTTCTTTTGTCGTGAAAATTGCGCTACTGAGATCTAATTGCACGTCTTTGGATTTTTGCTACAAATTACAAAACATTAGCTGCAGTTAATACGGGAAAGGTTTTGGAACCTGCAAGTATTTCGAGAATGACTTATAGTTGCGCCTGAATGGTTCTTTATTTGGCGGAATTCCTAAAGATTGTTCGAGTTCTTTCGCCGTATTGCCGTTCGCGCCTTCTGCTATAACTGTCAGCAATGACCAAACTGTGTAAGGCGATAATGCTAAATTTAAGCCATCTCCGACCTGATCATTCGTTTCCTAAAAATATTATCTTTGGAGTCGTAGGTATGTTAAAAAAAGTGCACAACTTACCGCTAGTAATCTCAAAGTAAACTGATTTAGGGATGCGCCTACATCTCGGACGGCTGCTAGTTCATTTCCTTGTGCCCATGCATAATTCAAAAGTGTGGTAGATAAAACGCACGTGCCTAATACTAAAAAGAATTTTTAGTACATTATATACCGTCATTGGTACCATTTGGTAAAGATTTCTAGTGTTCAACCGTTAAAAATAAACTCTTTGGCAATTTATTTAACTTAGTGAACTTTCGCAACCCTTGAGCTGATAAGGGCATTAAAGATAGGTACCTACCATCCGGATACAAAGGTGCCAGTATCAGATTTTTACTTACTCACTCATTTGTCAGAAAAGTACGGTTTACAATGTCACCAATGTGAAGATTATGTAGGCGTTTTTGAACTGGTACCTTAGAAATTATGTCCACGTAATTTCATTGTTCGAAAGGATATTGCCAAAAAATTGAACGTGGCACTTGCAAAACAAGAAAAAATCAGTTAGTCCCTTGACCATTGCCTATAACTATTGCTGAGAATAGAAATGGAAAATTCGAAACCGGTGGCGAGTATCATGTACACTGACGAACGGACGGACGGACAGAAAGTCCAAAATGATGAACGAGCCGAGTCGCTCGTTAATAAAGGAGGAAATGGACAAAATATTAGCAATACATTGCAACCATACTGCTAGTGTAAGTGAAGTATGCGGTAGATATGTTTGTTTGTGAAGATCTAGTCATTTTATTCGAAACAAGATACGAATAGAAACGAATACGATTTTCAGTAAGGGAATTTTTTGACACTCAGCTTGCATTCGGAAACGCCATTTTAATCCGGTTCATATTCAATAGCACTAATTCTTGAACTCAACGATTGGCAAAGGCCATCGCTGTCTCTTTCCGTTCTGGAGTTAGATGAGGAACAGACGGATGGACAAAACCCACATAAAGGGAATTTCTTTTGAAAAATTCCCCTAAAAAGCGGAGATGTTGTGAGTGCTTATGCACACAATATGGTAATAAGTGACGAATATGCAGAGCTGAAAGTTGGCGTATGATTATTTTGATACAGTCCATAAATTAATTGTCACGACTGAGTCTGAACGTCGGTCCAGCCGGCTGTCCGCACAATAACTAAATATTTGGCAGTGAAGCTCAAATTTGATACATGATTTAGGAAAGAAGTGATTAGATTTTGGGTTTCGGCCGTCCACTCCCTAAGGCACTGCGACACAAAACTAGTGCTCGCGTTACTCCCTGATGGCTTTGCGTGGTATTTACAACACTTATACAAAAACAAATAATCGCCTTTTTTTACCGTATTTTGATGGGAATTAATTAACATATTATTACATAACTTGCTCACGATTTGAAAATGAACACGATAATTTCCTAAGCAAAAACAGTTGTTAGTGTACCTAACCAAATTGCTTGGGAAGGTTACCCAAATAAAAATGTCGCATCCTAATGTGATAAAAAAAAAGAAAACGACTAGACCACATCACATGAATTTATTCAACGTACCTACAAAAAATACACGTGGTATAGATCCAAGACAAAAAAAGAGATGGTTCCAATTAACATTTTTTAATAGAATATTACTCGTATAATGCTCTAAAACTGATTCAGTGGCATAATTAGACACAGATTTAAGTAAACCATTTTCCAGGTTTGAATAAGTTGAAAAATTCATTGCCATGGTCATCTTTTAGATAGTCGCCCACGAGTTACGGGTTATACCTACCACGACCGTGTAGGCAGATAAATACGAAATTTTTATTTATGTGTTTATTTTGTCTCTAAAGAAGTTCGTTGTTTTGCGCAACTAATTCCAACACACGAAACTCGTTTTCCTTATGTCCTCAATTCGTTTTCAGAAAATCGGGGACCGTATAAGTATTTTACTCAATTTCAACCGAGCAATGGGAACATAGCCCTTATCAAACAATGTGCAATGTTATCGAATGTATTAAAATCCGAGCCATTTTTTGAAAAATTTTTCGAGAATAACAGGTTTACAAACTACCGGCAACACCCAGCAATCGTGTATTATAATTTAGCCTTTTGAGATTGGGTTGTTGTAGAAGAAGTAAATGGTTGCATTTTTTAGATTCAATCTGGTGCCCAAAAAGGGGTCCGTTGATAAAAAATTAGGTACTTTGCGTGCTGAACAGGGAACAATAGGATAAATGGTCCTGATCAAACGAACCAAATTTCCCAAATTCCATAAAAGCGAATAGTAATCGTTTTCTAATGTGTATGGACATAAATTGAAATAAAACACGTTAACTATTCCTAATCACATTTTGCAAAAATTTGAGAATGGACATAATATAAAAGAAGGACAATGCTCAGGCTTGTGTAGAAGTAAATATTTGGTGTGCGAAATGGTTGATTTGGTCCAACATAGTGCACTTAGAAAATATTGCGATTGCAGTTGATCCTCCCAAATTCAAATAATAAATAGTTTTTTGTCAGAGATTCTCAAACATTAAAACTGTTCAGTGCAATGAATGAAAGAAAACAAAACTAAAACTCAAACCGGTCGAATATATTACCACAGAACGATGGCCTCTTTTTTCTCTTTTAAACTAAACGATTTTGGACACTAATTTTGATTCCTTTTTGAAATCGATTGTTCTTACCCGCTCAGATAGTATGCGGAAGTAGTCGCGCAAGAACTTCAGATTTCTTTGCGAGAGAGTGAATTCATAAACATAATAATTTATTGTTAATATTCAATTCTTGGCTATTAACAACCATAACGGGGTATTCGTGTTTGTTGCCAAATATCGTATATAGGCAGCTGCTAAAAATGTTATAATAAATTCTCGGTTACATGCGGTTGGTTTTTATTATATCGAAATCTACACCAAACAGTAGCCTTGGGCTAAGTTCATCAAAATTGACTTGACGTTTGTATTAAATGGTATATAATTAACAGTAAGGTCAAGTAATAAATAAATACAAGCAGGTACTTGTAAGGAATACCTTCAGGTACTATTCCAAAGGTAGTCCAATTGTTGGATCAATATGATAATAAAATCTACTTACGGAAAGTTAGATACACCATAATGTGCTTGAAAAACGAAGAGAGAAGTAAACAGTCATACACTCAACACCGTAGGAGTTTTGTTTTCGAACTAGGTTTACCACGGCAGCGCAATTAAGTTGATGGGAGACAGTATGAGGTACCGATAGTACCATTCGTGCGACCTTTAAACACGAGTACACATTGACACGTAATTTCTGTAGCTTTATACCCCAACAGAGTTTAGCCGGAAAAGTAAAAATAAAGGCGAATTTTGTACTAATTCTTATCTTATCGCGTACCTACCTGTATTACTAATACAGTGCAGCATACATATCCGATCTTTGGAAAAACCCAAATACTTACTTTTTAAATATGTTTTTAAATTACATAATTAAATTAAAATACGTAAGGGTACCGTTTAATAAAAAGATTTGAAATGGCACCTGCCCCTCACTAATCGGACAAAATTTTAATCCTTATTTAATGTGAGTAAGTAAATTAAATATTTAAAAAGAATAACCCTATTATAGGTATTTTTTGACGCTCACTCAAAAATCTGGGTAAGTAGGTTTACTCAGTGAGATAGGTAATTCCAATGACCTATATCAGATTATCCTATTAACACGCTTCTATTGTGATCAATTTTAGTCATGCACATATCGGTAATGATACTATGAACAATGAGATTTCCTTCCTTCCTTATATGACATACTCGGTCTCTCAGGTGGCGGCGAGACGCTGATGATCATGATCTTGACATATCCGTCTAGTTAGGTGAAAGGTTACGAATTTGTCCTTGCCATTTATAATTTCTATTTTGGACAGCGTTTCTCCGTCATTTTGTAGATGGTTTATTCCTTCTTGCTCAGCGGCGCCAATGCGTTTTTTTGGGGAGGTTGTTCAACAACCGAAGATTGAGATTGCGAGGTATTCAGAGGCATCTCTGTTGTTTCGTTACAAACACGAAGGTACCCCGTTTCATCTGGATATGAATCAGATTATTGCATGACAACTTGGTCAAAAAACGGCACTTAAGAGAGGGAGACTTATATATTTACGATTGGAGGAACCGCCGTCCCATGGTGTCTGTGGAATCCAGACTGTTGAGTCTCTTTCGCCAACCAGTAGCTTTTGGAACATTCGTAGAAAAGTAAAATGGAAAAGACCTGACAGCTACCGTTACCTAATTATTGTATTTCTTATGCTGTTGATATACCTTACAAAGAGATGTGTAAATCAAAGGATATTACTTATTGTATTCATTATTGCTATTTCTCAGAAGTAAAGGAAGTTTGTGAAACGATAATATTTCAAACCCGAGACAGAAATTTAAAATCAAAACTTGTGTTTTAAGAATTTACTTGTCGAAGTGAGGATGAAGTAAGATCCACGTTTTAAAAACGGAAATTTAATAGCGAAATAAATTTTATTAAACAAATATAGCAAACGAGATCATGGGTATGGATCGTATGGATATATGCTCATTTTGAATTTCATACACTTCAGTTCAGAACTAACGAAAATGTCAAAAGGGCCTTCCCTATTTTTTGGCATACATTGCCATTTCACGAACTCCGATTTGATAAAAAAAATCCATCTGCAAAATCGGTTCAGTCGTTTTCGAGATATCGTACTAATGGACACACGGACAGACACCGCAGAATGATCAACTCGCTAGAAACTCCTTAATAATCTAGTTGACATTGCGTATACGCAAAATCAAATTTTGACACTGGTCTTATACTTGCTTTTATTTCAAGTGCCTATATATCAAATTTCATTTCATAAATAGAAAAGTTTTCAATTAGTCTAGATGCAAAAGGGTACTGTGAACGTTGAATCGATTAGACCATTGAATAAATAATTCAATGATTAGACTCAACTTTCGGCAGTGCGTAGTATATGACTGAAGCTATGGATTTCATGCAATTCGGTTCATAACTAACGGAGATATGTCAAAAGAGCTTTCCTTATTTTTTGGCCTACATTACTAATTGCTAACGGAAAGACGGACGGACACCGCAAAATTATGAACGAGTTCGTTAATAAATTAATTGCAAGAGTAAATTTTGAGAATGTTAGTTCACCGAGTAAAAATACGCTAGAAAAAAAAGAACTGATCAATAATAAAAAACAACCAACAAATTAATTGTTAAACTGTATAGCATATGATGGCATATTAGGATAATTGTCAAATAAATTTATAAAATGTCGAATCATAGGCTCCACTAGAATCCATGGCATATTTATAAAGAAGAACTCTCTGCTAGGTAATTGTCATTATTGATTATTGATGCCAGTGCGTCATTTCTATTTATAGGTATATTTCCGTCCTATCGTCTTTGGGTGCCTTTTGGAAGGCCCTAAAACTGTTTACCTTGCTTCCTAAAATATTAGTAGTAGGCCCTTTTAAAAAGAAGGGAAGCAGATTTGTTTATCAATTTCATTGGTAGAGCAAAATCTCATTACCCCGTAATATACAGGGTATTACATATAAGTATATAAAAAAATTGAGTAGTAGAAGGGATCAAAACAACGTGGGGAGCCACTCTAAAAAAATATTGGTGAAAGATGTATTTCTTGTTTAATTTTTTTTCTCAGCAAGCATGCGAGAGTGACAAAGAAATCTTTGAATAGGTTTTGGGTTTGCTCTTTCCGATTTTGCAAAAATTTTATCAAAATTCTTGCCACGAAAGGGCCCACCCTTAAATGTGGATGCGAAAATTCCGATTTCGATGAAATTTGGTATCTGAGGGTTTTTGAACATGAAAAAAAATTCCACTGCAATTGTTGGTCGGACAACAAAAATGGAGAAAATTTCACGAAATTTGTTATGTAGGTATAGTAGAATTGTCAAACAGTTTTTTAAAATCACTTTTCAAACAAAAGTTAAACTCATTTGAAAATTGGTTCTTCAGGTCAAAAAAGTATACCTACTCTGTCTACTAATGACTAAAATAGGTACTTACCGAAAGATTTCACTTTTCACACCCTCTTGAAGATGATACAATACAGGCGAGAAGACGGCTCACCAGGGGCGGACTGGCACGGGAGAGCGGGTGGCGATTGCCACCTAGCCTGTAGATTATAATGGCCCGTTGGAAATTCATAAGTATGTGCTGTATTTAGTTTCTTGCACTATTAATAAATTATTAACACGTTTCCCTAATTGGGGTTGATGTTAGGTTGTTAAAAAATTCTGTTTTAATTGAAGTGTTTTACAATGAATTTATCATTTTTTGTCGTAGTATTTTGAAAGTGCTGCAATACAATGATAGGCGACGCACCTCGTGTGGATTGTATATTTTGTTACTTTTAATTATCAGCTGCAATTAAAAAAAAACTGTGGTAACTGATTTTCGAGAAAGGAGTACTTTAAAATGTTTTTGTGGTGCACCTCAGAGCTCCCCCCCGCACCGTCATTACTACACTAATACTTTAATGGCCCGTAAGTACCCAGTCCGCCCCTTCCTTTTTTACCAAAATTCGACTACACCAAAATTTCTCGGGAAAACACTTTTTCTTATTAATTTTGGTGCGTAGAATCCAAAACAATTCGTACTTTTTCGATCAGGCTTCTCAATCAAAAGTTATAGACTAGAAACCAATTTCGAAAAAAAATTCAAAGGGCTGTAACTTTTGAACTAGTAGTCCAATCTTGGAACTATTTGAAATTATGGATTCTGCAGGCCACATTCTATAAGAAAATTTTTTTCCGGGTCGATCTGAGACAATGATAGGCGACGCACCTCGTGTGGATTGTATATTTTGTTACTTTTAATTATCAGCTGCCATTAAAAAACAAGTTGTAAATCTGCATATGCATGATTAAAGCGCATTTTTGGTAATGCAGGTCAGTATTTTATTAGCGAAGTTTAAAATTATCGATCTCACGAGTAATTTTGGCTGCGTTAAATAATTAATTTTATTTAATTTCAATTGACGGTACGTCTTTAATTTTGTAAAACAAATCACAAAGTAAATAATAAGTTTTTTAAAGTCACTAAATAAAGAAAGTACCGCAATCCATTGGGCTCGTGTGTTTGAGAGAGAATGCATTATTTTTGCCCAAAAATGGCGGAAGTTACCAGATTCTAGTAACTTTAATGTTAGGGATTGTTCCACCTGTTTGGAGATATCTGTATATATTTTCATAAAACATGACTACTATGAAGTTAGGTTATAAAAAATTACAGCTATTCAGATTTTGTCAATTTTTTTTAAGTTGGCAGCAAATTTGCCCAAAAATGGCGGATGATTGTGGTACTTTCTATATCTAGTAACTTTAAAGTTTTTATACTGGTAACGCTATCTAACGGTAAAATTATAGAACCTCCGAAACCCATATCGAAATTATTTTCTTCAATTATCGATCTCACAAGTAATCTAACTCAAAATAGACTAGTGCCTGCACATGTACACTATAGCAGAAAGCTTTTAGTGAAAATTTGAATTCTCTAGCTATTGTAGTTGTGGAGATCTCACGCGGACAGCCGGCCTGCCAGCCATAACAAATATAATAGCGTATTTTTTTCAAAAATGCGCTAAAAATTGTATGGTAATTTATTTTCGAGAAAGGAGTACTTTAAAATGTTTTTGTGGTGCACCTCAGAGCTAACCCCCCCTCCCCCCGTCACCATCATTACTTTACCCAGTCCGCCCCTGGGTCGATTCACGTTTCTTTTAATACAAATGATCTGTTTATAAACGGCAGGTACAATATTCGGATTTATAGCGCGAAAATGAATTGACACCCCAAAAAAAGTTGACCTTGAAAATGAAATTTGACACTCCAAATTTTTGTAACGGTTTTCTGTCCACGTTAGTGCATATACCGATTTCCCGTTTCAGAATTGGCCGAAGCCGCCGAGTTTGACGTTTACAGCAAGTACGCGCACGATGTCACGTCGCCAACGTGTCGCGACACGCTGCACAACTTGCTCTCGCGGCCGCAGGTGAACAGCGCTCTAGTCACAGCCGGGCAGGGCATGCCGCTCGCCCTAAAATATTACCTACCCGCCCTTCTGACTGGTCCAATTCGTCACTGCTTCTCCTACCTAGACTACATTAAGGTGCTACGAGGGTTATCGGAATCTCCGGAGGATCGGGAAACGTTGACGCAGGTCGAGGGACTGCTGACCCCGTTACAATTAGAGCTCGGCCAGTGCGTTTCGTTTCAGTCGCTGCAACGTTCGAGCGTCGTGTCGAACTACGGGACGAGGTCGCGCCGTCAAACCGCCTTAGACAAAATACACGAGCTTCAGCGAATAGTCGAAAATTGGGACGCGAAGGATACGGGGCAGTGTTGCAATGAGTTCGTCCGAGGTACGTCCCCCTTTCGCCCTTTTCATGGCCACTTAACCTTTTGTTCGCAGAGGACATTCTCATGAAGGTCAGTTCGGGGAAGCGCCTGACCGAGAGGCGGGTGTTTCTCTTCGACGGATTAATGATCTTGTGCAAGCCGAACTCGCGACGTCAAAGCTCGGTGCACCAGAGCCATCCCGAGTGTCGCATTAAGGAGCGCTTCTTCATACGCAAGGTCGAAATAGTCGATCACGTCGACACCGACGAGATGCGGAACGCGTTCGAGATCTCGCCCCGCATTCAGCCGGCGGTTACGTTGTGCACGAAGAACTCCGAGGAGAAGAACGTCTGGATGGCCGATCTGGTGATGATCAACACGCGCGCGATGCTCGATCGAATTTTGGACAGCATACTGCTGGACATGGAGCGAAAGCATCCGCTTCGGCTGCCCTCGCCCGAGATATACAAGTTTGCCGAGCCCGACTCGAAGGACAACATCATCTTGGAACAGCGCGAGAACGGCGGCGTGCCTTTAATCAAGGGGGCGACCCTGTACAAACTAGTCGAACGATTAACCTACCACATTTACGCCGATCCCAAGTTCGTCCGGACGTTTCTGACGACGTATCGGAGCTTCTGCGCGCCCTCCGAACTGCTGGACCTGCTAATCGAGAGGTTCAACATACCGGACCCGTCGTTGGTTTACGAAATGGACTGCTCCGACACGGACAAGATGCAGAAGAACTCGCAGCGCGAGGATTGGAAGCGCTATCGGAAGGAGTACTGTCAACCCGTACAGTTTAGGTGCGCGTGCGTGTAATTTTCAGTGGCGTTCGCTGCATCGTTTGCTTTCAGGGTGTTAAACGTTCTACGCCACTGGGTCGACCATCACTTCTACGATTTCGAAAGGGATCCGTCACTTTTGGAGAAGCTGCATACTTTTTTAGAGTCCGTTACGGGTAAAAGTATGCGAAAGTGGGTCGACAGCGTTTTGAAAATTTTACAAAGAAAGGTAAGATGAATATAGGGAGGTAAAACGTCCAAATTCAAATTACAAACAAGAGTTTTGCTCTAATTGCCACGAGAGTAGCTCTAGGGCCTTCATTGATACGAAGGAAAAAGAGCAACTGGAAACCTTTCAGGCTACGTGCTCACTTACTTTCTTCTTCTCCAATTTACATTTTACAATTACGTGCATCGGGGAATCTCATTTTCCTCATACTCTAGACTTTACAGTTATATTTAAAGTATTGTGACATTCACACCGAGGTCTCACGGGCTTATAACATTTGTATGTTTTTTTACCTCTCTCGTAATAATAAAGTCCGTTGGGGGTTTCGAGATCCATCACATAACAGTATTCAAATAACATAAATGTTCAGGAGTCATCAATAATTGTCACAAGTATTTTACGCCCCCATATAAAACAAACAAAAACGTCGACCCATCGCACAAGCCGATAACAAAAATCATAATTGAGCTATTAACTTTTAACCTAGGGGTCGCTGATATTCATCACGCTGTCAGCTCGCCGTTGCCGTTGTATTTTCAGCAGAACGTCCATTTATTTTAATCGGTTCTCTGTCGTGCAGTTGTCCTTTGTATGACCCGGTTGTTTACATATGAAACACTTTAAAATCTTTCGGACGCGGACATTCATCAGCATCATGTCCCTCAGACGCACAATTGAAACATCGTACTGCTTGTATCAGAAGAAGTTAATACGAGTGTTGTCAACCAAGCAGTAACAAAACTGTAAGTAGTTAAGGCTCTGAATGTCTCTTTTTCTTCTAGCGTTATTGTCGCAATGAAAAATCTCAATGTTTATTCTCAAATTAATAATTTGGGAGACTCGGTAGCTTCGATCAAATTCCAAGGAATTAACCTCAGAATTAACTAAAGAAATTAATACCTGGCATCATAATTGGGTTCGAATAGAAAATTCGACCCTATCTGGGTCGCACTTAGGGTTCGATTAAACACACACTTAAATCCTTAACTTTTTCCGCACACTTTATTTCGATTCCGACGAATTACGTTACCACATAAACGGGCCGACTGTCTGAAAAGTTTAGCATAAAGAAATGTACACGTACTCAAACCGTCGCGAAAGCGCCGTGTTATTTAAAATACAAGTACATTCTGAAGCTAATCAAAACGGCCTTCCTTCACAACTACTCGCACAAAAATTCTTTCTAAAAGTTCTTTTTCGCGACCCGACTCCTCCTCATTCCCTCTTCAATAACCAATTAATGTTTCCTCAGCTCAAGAGATGCCTGAACCTTGATACCGTACGATAAACACGACACCTCTTGGCTAATTCTATTAGTACATAATCCAATGTATTTTGCTATACGCATTTTTGCACTTATTGTTGGGTATCTGATTTTTTAAATTTTGTATATATAGCCCTGTGTTATTATACAGCGATAAAACACGTGCGTTAATTAAATTTCACCTGATAAAAACACTTCTTATCGCAAACGACCAGATTTCTGACACCTTACCTAAATTGAACAACTTACAAACGCGATAAAAATTAAAAATATGCATCTACACAAATTTCTAAAAAGAACAATAAACACTTGAGATACAAAGTCAAGTAAAGTAAACCCTGAAGGTATAAAGGAGCACGAGTTCCTTTCATAGAATGCGATGTAAGTTCTGTTGAGCATCACCACTTACAGTAATGTTGGGTCACCCTGTATGCTTGAATTTTTATTTTGACGTTAAATGTGGTTCTAAGTTTTGATTATATATCTGGAAATATTTGCGTAGTATTTGTAATATTTTCGGTCGTTGCGAGAAGAGCGTTATCGCTGCGTAGGCTAATTAGTTTAGTGATAATCACGTTTTATCCCAGATGTTTTTTCGTCAGTAAGAAAACACATGCGTTTAATTTATTCGAAGGCGCAGTTGAAAGTTGAAAAGAAAGGGAAATTTTGTTAAATAGAAGAGACGGACGTTAATCGTTGCTTCTTTGGTGATAGACGTTAACCGCTGCTTTTTGGTTAAGGTTTTCTTTTGTTTGGTGGACGTTGAAGTAAGACTTTTCTTGTATTACACCAATTATTTCTACATTGTTTATAATAGAAACTTTTTAAACTCGAAATTCCATGCGTAAACACTTCTTGCACAACATTAAACTTGTTTCCTTATTATTTTACTAACATGAGGACGCTTAAGTTTCTTTTTGTTTAAATTGCCTAGCCGACTGTACTACCGGTACCAAAAATTAGCGATCTCTTTTGAAATAATCCGAGCCAGCCTCGTTTACTCTTCACTCTTCCCATTTAAGAAAAAAAACACTTTTACTAAGAAATTCAATATCGTTATTAACTGGACCATACTCGAAATTCCTCTACGTCGCCAAAACTGCTAAACCACCTGCATCGCTTATCTCGCACGTGACATTGTTGTTCGAAAAACATATCAACACCTGACCCGATAAAACTAAACTTTTCATTGTCGACCTATCACATTGCGCATGATCAGTAAAGGTTATGTTTAGAAGCGCGTGTCACGAGAGTAAGTATCGGTAATCGTAATGTTTTCGTCCTTGGCGGCTAAGCGGTTCGCGTCTAGACTAACGATAGATCTACAATTTACCGACGGTGCGCTTCTAAACTTGTTTTAGACTGAACCCGATTTACAAAGGCACATAAAGTTCGCGTTCGACGAGCCTCCGCCGCCGATCGAATGGCACCATTCGGTAACCGAGGAGGACTACGGAATTCTGACACTGCATCCCGTCGAAATCGCGCGGCAGCTAACGCTATTGGAATTCGAGATCTACCGAACGATAAAGCCGAGCGAACTGGTCGGCTCGGTTTGGACGAAGAAAGACAAGGAGATCACCAGTCCGAACCTGTTGCGCATGATGAAGCACACGACGATCGTGAGAGCGCGGCGCTTGTGGCTTTCTCGGTTCACAGTCGTCTGTTGCAGGTGACGCGCTGGTTGGAGAAGAATATCGTCGAGGCCGAGAACTTCGAGGAGCGCACGGCGATACTTAGTCGGATCGTCGAGATCATGACCGTATTGCAGGAGTTGAACAATTTCAACGCGGTGCTGGCGTTCGTTTCGGCTTTGGGATCGGCGTCCGTTCATAGACTGAAATTTACATTTAATGTAAGCCCCTTCCAGGTTATCCTAACTGTAACGCATCTGTTACAGAGTTTACCTCAGAATCTGAAAAAAATATTGGAGGAGTGGCGAACGGACGATCACTTAAAACGTTACCAGGAAAAGTTGAGATCGATCAATCCCCCTTGCGTCCCCTTTTTAGGCATGTATCTAACCAACATTTTGCATTTAGAAGAAGGCAATCCGGATTTTTTACCCAACACCCAGTTGATCAACTTCTTCAAGCGTCGAAAAGTCGCCGATATCACGGGGGAAATCCAGCAGTACCAAAACCAGCCGTACTGCTACAACGTCGAGCCAAAAATTAAGGTAACTATGTGACCGAGTTTAGCACCGGACATCATCGAAATGTCGTAGATGTTCTTGGAGACGTTGAGCCCTTTCGGCGACATGACCGATACCGATATCAGCAATTATTTGTATAGTAAGTCGATCGAAATAGAGCCACGGGGTTGTAAGCAAGTTCCTAAGTTCGGACGGAAATGGCCGGGGTTGAGCCTGCGCAGTCCGGGCACGAAGACAAAGTCCTCGCGCCAGGTGCCGCCTTCGTCCATCGCGCATAATCAACAGATACTGAAGTCTGAGGCTAAGGAGGACAATTCGAAGACGGAGGATTTCAGCGTCTTTGCGCAGGTAATGATTTAATAGTGCTATGCAAAAAAAAACGACGGCCGGTAAATGTTTTAATAAAATATATATTTTCAAAAAAATATATATTTCGAAAAAAAAATATATATTTTCAAAAAAAAAATGTAGAAATCATTTTTGAATTTATCCCAAGTGCTTCCCGAATGTATAAATATTCCATTCTAGGTGCAATTCCAAATATTAATAAAATATATATTTTCAAAAAATATATATATTTAAAAAAAAATATTTATATTTTCAAAAAAAATTTTGAAATCATTTTTGAATTTATCCCAAGTGCTTTCCGAATATATCAATATTCCATTCTAGGTGCAATTCCAAATATTAATAAAATATATATTTGCAAAAAAATACATATATTTTATATATATTTCTAAAAAAATATATATTATTAAAAAAATATATATATTTAAAAAAAAATTTAGAAATCATTTTTGAATTTATCCCAAGCGCTTCCCGAATATATAAATATGCCATTCTAGGTGCAATTCCAAATATTAATAAAATATATATTTGCAAAAAAAAATATATATTTTATATAATTATATTTCTAACAAAATATATATATTATTAAAAAAATATATATTTAAAAAAAAATTTAGAAATCATTTTTGAATTTATCCCAAGTTCTTCCCGAATATATAAATATTCCATTCTAGGTGCAATTCCAAATATTAATAAAATATATATTTGCAAAAAAAATATATATTTTATATAATTTCTAAAAAATATATATATTATTAAAAAAATATATATTAAAATAAATAATTTAGAAATCATTTTTGAATTTATCCCAAGTGTTTCCCGAATATAATAAATATTCCATTCTAGGTGCAATTCCAAATATTAATAAAATATATATTTGCAAAAAATATATTTTATATATTTAAAAAAAATTTAGCAATCATTTTTGAATTTATCCCAAGTGCTTCCCGAATATATAAATATTCCATTCTAGGTGCAATTCCAAATATTAATAAAATATATATTTGCAAAAAAATATATTTAAAAAAAATTTAGAAATCATTTTTGAATTTATCCCAAGTGCTTCCCGAATATATAAA